GTGTAATATATATAAAATGTATTTAAAATATATGTGAAATGATGAAAACTAATCTTTGAATTGACTGTAACATTTCTGTAATTTGTTGATAGACATAGTGTTTTGAACATCAAATAGTATCAAGCAGTTTTTTTCAACTTATTTTTTGGTAAAGAAGATAAAAAGCATCGGTAATTATGAAGCAGTTTTGTTGCACTCCTGACTGCAGTAAAGTTTAAAATTAAAACCATAGAACACAAAAATTCATGGAGTGTTGGCAACATTAAGTGGTAATGAAATTGTGCAATATTTATAGTCCAATACTTCATAACTAAAACAGATGAAAGTATTTTAAATTTGCATTTTATCTGGAATTATACCCCATTTTATGCCAAAAAACTAGCTTAAATGTATATTTAGAAGATAAAATATATTTTAAAGCATATTTTCCTTTAGAAGACAATCACAGTAACCCACCAGAAAAATTCTACTCATATTTTTTTCTTTATTTTTATTCTTATTGGATGATTTATAATTCTAACATATTTGTTGCACTCCTGACCAAAAGCAATGGGGCCTTTGAAGTAGAATTGTGAAGTGAAAATTACACAAGAACTTGTTCTGTTGTTTCAGTGAAGTTGAGGAGGAATTACTTGAATTTTATGACAATGTTTTAGTGTGTTTATTTTTAACGTTCATTAAAAAAATCACAAAAAAGATAAAAACACATCTGAATGGATAAAATTTAAAAAGGAAGGATTTTAATAATAAAACTGTCAATGATTTAGCATTAAATTATACAAAAGATCATTATTAATTAATGAATACTTCTAAGCATGAATAGAAGTCTTTTCGTCACACAACTTGAATCTTTAAAAAAAAAATGTGTTGCACTCCTGACCATAGAAATATGGATCTGAAGCATAGACGGATCCTGTAATTGATAAATCTATTTGATAAAAATGTTCTTTGTGTCTTTATTTTCCAAAATAAAAATCAGAAAATCATATAATGATAATAGTTTTTTCATGCTTGGGAGCAAAACATCAAATGTTGCACTCCTGACATTTTTGGGTATGCACATATACTTGACTCTCATTAATGCTGTTTGTGATTTATATAACATTTTTAAGTTTTAAAATGTATATCAGTTATTATTTTACACTTCCAAAATTCTTTTTTGTCTTAATTTTCTATCAGAATTTTACAATTGATGTTTTTTTGGCAACACTACATTTTTTCTGTTGCACTCCTGACATGGTATAACATTTTTTTAAACATCAGCCATGACCACAACTTGATTAAACAAAAGTTATGACAGTCCACATTTAAGGCTCAATACTTTGAATATTATCAGGCAAGTCTTTATTTTCAACATGAAACATTATTTTTTATTTCACAGATCTCCAAAAAATATTGAAATTTCAAAATGTCACAAAAAGGTGTTGCACTCCTGACAATTTTAGCATCATTTTTGGGCATAACTTTTTTGTTAATTGAGATATCAACGAGATATTTGGCAGGTATTTAGACACTATCTAAAGACATATACTGAGACATAGAAATCTATTTTCATTGTCTGTATTTTTAGTGTGGGTTGATAAATATGCATTTGGTCATTTTTTTTTTAATTCACCCACTTCAAAATCTGGATTTGGAATAAAAAGTAGTAGGGTTGGTGGGTAAAAATTAGGGTCGGTCAGGTTACCGGAAACACCACTTTTTTTAAATTTAGCCTCATCCTTGACAATGCACACAAGTAGTTGATATTATAGTGCATCTTATAAAGCTGTTTTCTTTTTATAAGGGAGAAATATAACACTGACTACTTTAAACAGGTCTGGGCGGCCTCCGTTTTTGGAGGATAGCTAAATTCAATATGGCGGCCAAAATTTTTACCATATATGGAAACCGCGTTGCATTGTGGGATAGTTTATCCTCCGATTTCAGAGGATAACACAGGTAATTTTCAAACACCTCGTGCCTACCTTTAATCAAAAAGTGCAAGCACCAGAGTACATGCAAATAAAAGTTCAAACATTAAACTATCGATTGTATGTGGCGATTTGAGATTCTATGTCTAGATATTTTGCAATTTATTTTCAAAGTTAGCACTTTTTGCGCTCCATAAATATTGAATATTTCTTGTTATTTTCTTTTATTTTTTATTTTTTTTCCTTATTTAGACAAATGAAAAAGGACTTTAATATTTCTTTTATATTTTCTTTTAATTCAAAAAAAAGGAAACACAAAAGGAAACACATTTTAAGCGTATTTAAAACGCAAAATCTACTCTGCCTTATAATTTAAGCAAATAAAAGTATATTTGGATTGAATGAATAATTATAAAAATAAATAAATGATTCGAATAGCATAAGTAAATAAAATAAATAATTTAACATGTTTACTAAGAAATTAACATATATTCATACAGTCATGTGTATACATAAACAAATAAATATTACAAAGTGATGTGCTTAAGAATTATTACCTGGAAGAAATAATAAATGATTAAAATCAATTTTTCCAAAAAAAATTGTTTATCAAAATTTCTAAACTGCTTATCACATAAATACTGAACTGGAAAATCAGCGTGGTTATAATTAACCTCAGTCACAGGCAGGTAAGTGCAATATTTGTTTTCCAAGCTGTATACGGAATAACTGGTTGACGACAATTACAAAAATATAGTTATATTGATTTAATATCTGGAATTATCCATCATCATATGAAATTGTACCTTTTATTTGTTTTGATTTCAAAGTCAGAGTACGGTTCATAAATGCAAGAGTTGCTGTTATTTGTTTGGTTATGAGTTAACTGCCCTTAGTTTTGAAAATTCCGGTAGGTGGCAAGACCGCTATCCTCTGTTTTCAGAGGATAAAATCTATCCTCCAAAAACAGAGGCCGCCTAGACCTGTTAAAATCATTACCTCTTTCCGTAGTGCAAAAAATAATTTGAGTTGTGTCCCTTTGGGTAAACCAAAATGTTTTATGTCTGTGTAGTCCCTCTCCAGGGGCACTCAAAATAAAAGAAGCAAACAAATTCCCTTGAAAAATTGTGAACCTATAATAAAGTCCACCCAAATTTCCTATGTCAATTGACAGAATTACGAACCGAAAAACTTCGAATTTTTCCCCCTTTAAAGATGGCGCCCAAGGGACATTACTTTTGAAGGATGTGGATTCATCTATTCTTTTAAAATAAATAGTTCAATATCAATTAATTAAAAACCAAAAAAAATTAATTAAAAACTATTGTAAGTAAAAAAAAAAAAAAAAGAATCTTCAACTATGATACTTTTACCGACCTTTGCGGTGCATGGCAGCATGTGCCTTTCAGGCTTTCTTTCTTTCAGACGACACATGTTACGGGGGCAACCCCGATCCCGTTGGGAAAAATTGTTTCAACGAAGTCACATCTATAAGACTGGGAGTTTTTAGCTGTACAATCATAAAAAATACTTTTATGCAACAATAGTATTTCTTTTAATGCCAAAATGGTACGTTGTTTTCCCAATATATGAGAATCTAATAATATTTATTTATTGCATCGGGATCGGTGCGTACCTATCTGTCAAAAAGGGTGCGTTCAGATTCTACGAGTGGTTCTGCCTCCATTGATGGAAATGATACCATTAGTTACTAACAAACCCAGAACGGTTTTGGCATATTAATGGTATTGATTTCATCATTGTCAATAGAGACCAATAACATCATTATAGTAACAGTGGCAATTTAGGGGAGAATATTTTAATTCTGGAGGGGGGGGGGCTAGCAGATTTTGGAAATAAATAATCTGTCCTCCAAAATGTTGAACATAAATAATCTGTTCTCTACTGGCAAGGAAAAAAAATCTGTCCTTGAATGGTGCTACTGCTATTTTGTCTCCATGAAGATGAGTGATGACGTCATTATCAATACTTCCAACACTCTAATACATGTATGTCTGAAGATAGTTTACCATGATCAGCAAGTGTTCTTGGTATACATTGGTACCATTGGTAATAATAAATTTTACCAACATTTTTAGGAGGGGGGGGGGGGGGCTAAAAATTAAAAGATAAAATGTGTGCTATTAAATAATAAATACATGTACAAAAATTGTGAGTTACTTTATTAAAAGCCCCCCCCCCCTTTTCAGTGAAAATTTTGGATCTGTCCTTGTAGGTCTCCATTCAGTGCCACAGTGTCACAAAAAGGTAACAACATATCAATTGTTTTCTTTCTTTATTACAGTATGATCATTAGCAAGTTTACTTAAATGAGGAATTCTTGAATATACATACTTTGAGCAAATCAAAAAAATGTCCACTTGTTTTAAATTAAAGCTTTAAAAAATCACAATTTCAAAACCGAAGATCTGCTTGCGAAAAGGGAATATCCCCAACCCACCAAAATAATAAAATTTAACTGGCTAAACAGTAATTCCAAACAAAACAAAGCAAAGGAGTATTCTACTTAAATATAGTAGTGTGGTCCCTTTTTACACCCTTGATTTACCGGTTAAACATTAGCATACGGTATTTTGTTTGTTTTCATTGTGTATAACGAAGTATTTCTAATTAAAGCATTGTGTATTGATAATGAATAATTAAACGTATTTAAAAATACAAGCCAATTTTTAAACCTATTGCGCTAAAAAATGCCGGAACATTTTCCCCCGATCAGACTACGGTTTCTCTATTACATGGAAATGGGCGGAGACATTTAGATTAGATACTATAAAAAGAATATATCTTGAAATGATTTTTTTTTTTCAAAGACGAATTATATGTTCAAGATTCTCAATCAACTACAAATACAATTTTCTATTTACAAATCTTTGAAATTAAACGCTATAACAAGAGGAACCAAAAAATATTCCATGCTGACAGATATAAAACTGAGTACGTTTCAACTGAAAGCTAGCACGTTTACTGGGGGCAATTGCCCGTAACGATACAAATCCACGTGACTTGTTATGATTCTAAACAGGTCATAAAGAGGTTAATCGCATGTAAATGAAGTCAGCAAAGAGATTCAAAATCACAATACTTTTAATTAGAAAACATAGAGCACAGGGTTGTTCAACAAAGATATGTTCACTCAACCTTTACACATACAATATACACAAATATATTTCAAACTCGACTCTGAACAAACCTGTGCTCGATGTTTACGAAAGCTTTGAAGTGTGTACGTGTCACTGATTTCTTTTGATATTCATGAAAATCAAAGAACCCTATCTTTAACACGCAGCTTCTTATGCTGCCTATATCTATTGTTTGACATTTTTAGATGATGATTCAGATAATAAAGACATTAGTTAATGATAAAATTTAATTTTTAAATCTTTTAATAAATGTTGGAAATTTGACGAGTAACCGGGGACCACAGATAAGCCTTATTGAGAATTGTTCTTTAGCTTAAGCAAACAAGATTTAGAGAAAACAAAATTACAAGAACAGGCTTTATGTGGTACAAAAACACGGTTGTCCTGAAAAATTTCAACAGCACCATGATTCACATATGACCATCTGGGGTCTTTTGATGTGAAATTTATCATGATACTGGTTATTGTTAACCAGAATATATGTTAACATAAAACCTCGGATATGACAAAAATAAAATCACTGAAAGTTTGTCACAGAATAGTTTAAATATTTTTCATGATTTTTTTTATATAAACTCCAACAATGAAATATTGAAAATAGAACATATCACCACAAGTATATTATAATAATCATAATAACACGTCACTTTCAAGCTAGGATGCACACTAAACATAAAAGTTCATTTGCAGGTTAAGTTAACATGCATGGTTAAAGTATATCTAATGCCTTAATAGTCAGTTTATCAGACTCATCTCCAATTATTATCTTCCACTGTTCCTTGTAAAAAGGTTTCATCCAGTTAACCTTTCCAGTGTGCTCAATTTTATTCACAAGACAAATGTCGGTCATTGTTTGGTTTTTTGTTTCTAAAGGATCTGGTGTGATACTGTTTTCACTGGAAGTACCATTAACAGCATGGGCATTTGCAGGTAAAACCAGTTCTGGGTGATCATGGGATTTGGATAAGTCCCATAATGCAATGCAGCAGTCATTTCCTCCTGAAACAAATTTGTCCTCTGTTATAAAATGCACCTGAGAAACACCCTGTGTGTGAATGTGAAGACTAAACAACTCTCTCAGGTGTTTTCGGGTACTGTCAAACACTGCTATCAGCCCATTCTCAAGTGCTGCCACCAAGTATTTTCCATCTGAGCTAGCGGACAGGTGGTGGACGAATGGAGGGCTGACCATGTACGAATCTGTTGTTTCAAATGGATTATTTAGTTCATTCATGTCAAACATATTCAAGCACTTATGGCGAGAAAAGTCCCAGTGAATCAGTTTGGAATCTAAACCTCCTGTAAAGAGTTCCCATGGCTTTTTAGGTCTAAAACACACGGAAGCACAGATATTGGTGTGTTTATTTTTTAGAGTTTTGTACAGTTTCTTCTCACCCAAATCAATAACCTTGATTTCTCCAGCATCATCACTGGCAGCCAAGTACTTCTCTTTTTCATCCACAGCTATCTGGTTTATTTCATCTGAATTATAGCTGAAAGCATCCAATGGTGATGTTAAATCTCCAGCATTAAAAATTTTAACGGTGTCATTGAATGCAGCATAAATGACATCCTTTTTCAGTTGTGAGATGAGCACAGAGGTGCAATCAGTGCTTTCTTCAGTGTGCTTGCAAAGCAAGTGGCCATCACCATTCCACTGACACAAATCTCCATTTTCTCCACCCGAAACAATGATGTCCTCAAAGATATCCACACATAAAATTGAGCCCGAGTGTCCTCCTTGAAATCCCCCCAGCTCCATCTGGAAGTAAAACAGTGTATTATATGACATGTTTCTCTAACTTTCCTATTTTAGCAAAATATTTATAAAAATATGATAGTTCAATTAGCTCATTAACCTTTCTGTGTAATTAAGTATTTAATATTGTGTTGTTGATGACTTGTAGCACTTTAATAGTTTTTACCACAAAGTGGTTGTAGATTTTAATTTTTTTTTATTTTAGATATAAGGGCAGATTACTCTAACTGCATAAAAATACCATACTCTTTAGCATGCAGTGTAAAGTGGTTATTAAGCGATGTGTTTTATAGAATTGTCATCTACAAATGATCAGAATCTCAAACAAGTATTAAAATTACGTTGTACATGTATATGAAAAAAAGAGAGTCTGTATACATATAGTAATCACATATTAGACTTTAACCATCATTTCTCCAAATTAAATGCCTCAATTGGCTAGATTCGAAATGAAATATTGGAGAGCGCCCAACAGTTATGAATGTATTTCTTCAATATAAATTGAACTTTAACTTTGAACTCTTATTTTGTGTTTGTGGGGACAATGAGGTTTGTAACCATTACATATCACTGAAGAGCATACATTCATGAACCAAGCACTGATTTATAAAAATATAAATGTCAGAACTAAATGAAAATGACATTCAGTCTATAAATTAGAAATGCATTAAAATTTAATAAAAAGAGTAATGTGATCAAGAACATTAAAGCCGATAAATACATTTAGTGTGTATTACTTTTATTTTCAAAACAGCATTAATGCTATTTTAAAAAGAAATCAGTTTAATCCTAAATTATTTTTATTTTTCGACCACCCATTAATGCATATTTTTGAGACAGAAAATTGTAAACCACAGAAAATAAAAACTGTGTCCCTATATGACGTCTTATCATGCCTTTGCTATTCTTGAAAAGAATATATTTAAAAATATTTTCCTATATATTCCTATGTAAAACTTTGATCCCATTACAGCCCATCCTACCCCTGGGGGTCAGGTTTTGAACAAACTTGAATCTACGCTACCTGAGGATGCTTCCATATACAGTTGAATTTCAGTATCTCAAATACTGATATCTTGATACCATGGATATGTCGAAGTGATTTTAAAGTCCCAACCACTTATTCTTTAAGTATTTTACCCCTGATATCTCGAATCCTTGGATATCTCTACGTTTTTTCTCGGTCCCATGGAGTTTGAGATAACAAGGTTTGACTATATATATGATTTATTATGGCTTTGCTGTTCTTGAGAAGATTTTTAAAGACCTTTTCCTATGTATTCCTGTTCAAAAATTTTATCGCCCACTATGGCTCCACTTTACACCCAGTGGGTCATGATTTGAACAAATTTAAATCCACACTACCTGAGGATGCTTCCATATCAATATAACTAATCATGCCTTTGCTGTTCTTGAGAAGAGGAGTTTTAAAGATTGTTTTTCTATTTATTCCTATGTAAAACTTTGATTGTCCATTGGGGCCCCACTCTACCCCCAGGGGTCATGATTAGAAACAAATTTGAGTCTACACTATGTAATGAAGCTTTCACATAAGTTTCAACTCTTCTGACCCATTTATTCATAAGAATATGATTTTAAAGATTTTTCCTATATATTCCTATGTAAAACTTTGATAGCCCATTGTAGCCCCACCCTATCCCAGGGGGTCATGATTTGAACAAAATTACATTTACACAATATGTAATGAAACTTTTACATAAGTTTCATCTTTTCTAGCCCAATGGTTCTTAAAAAGAAGATTTTTGAAAGATGCCATTAATTTTTCAATTATTCTTAATTATCTTCCCTTGAAAGAAGATATAACCCTTCATTAGAAGAAACTTAACTCCCCTTTACCCATGGGTGCTTTTTGTCAAATTTGGTTGAAATTAGCCCAGAGGTTCTGGAAAAGAAGATGATTACAGAAAATGTGAAAAGTTTACAACAACAACCATGATGCCAACAACAACAACAGACAACAGACAAATTTCAATCAGAAAAGCTCACTTGAGCCTTTGGTCAGGTGAGCTAATAAAAGTTAAAAATGATGGTACTTTCCATTGGACTTTTGCGAGAAGCGCTGACTTTTACAATCGACGGCTTACGATTACACTTGGCCAATATTCGGAGGCTCTTTTGGGATATGAATTTTTAGTTTTACAGTTAATTAAATGATAATAATGGGCCATTTTAAAGCACATATTACGTTGTCTAGGAAGGGAACGACAACCACCGTATCCGTAACCCCCTCCCCTCCCACCTTGACCAACTCCTGTCAAGTTTTCCTTCCGGAATGTTTTTTTTTTTCCTTATTTGATTCCTTCAGAAAATGAGATTGAAAGGAGAAACTATCCCTCACAAATAAGGCATTTTAAGTTATGTTATCCTGCCTCCCATCATCTCTTGTGTGGATTGTATACCGGTAAAATACTTAATCATGTTAGTGCCCCTATCACCATACCTATGACCACTTGTAAGGTTTTCTTATCTATTATCAATTCCGTACCTCCGTACATAACACAGATTTAAATGTAAAAGTAAGCCGTCGACTGTAAAAGTCAGTGCTTCTTGCAAAAGTCCATTAATAACCTCTATAATAAGAACAAATTGACAGCTGAGTTTCTGAAAACATTCTTTCATCTGATTCATGAATTTTCATGAAGCAACAGAAAGAAAAGGGGGGGGGGTGTCACTAACTTAATATTATGAAGAAATGTTGTTAATAATTTGCATTCTGTATAGGCCCTAGGTTAACACTGAAACTTGAGGTACATGTTATTCAGTCATGCATTCTTTACTTTTATGGTTAACGGCAATTTATTTGCAGGTAAAATTCAACACACCTAAATACTAATGTATTTAAAATGTATTAGAATACAATTTTTTGAAAAAAAAAACAAAACAAACAAACAAAAAATTTCTCATATTAATCTAAACATCATTAAAATGATGCTGATCTAGCCCCCCCCCCCCCCCAATCTTCGTACAGTCATATTTGGGCAAATCTTATTATTAAGCTTTATTATCAGCCTTATTATTATCAACATTATTATCTACAAAAAAAAATTATTATGCAATTAAACACACAATATATATCTCTTACCTAACACAAATAAAGTATAAAGCAGATAAATATACCCGAGATTGATAACTGGGTGAAAAACTAAATTAAATGAGATTCAACACACCAACAGTTTACACATGTTACATAATTTGAAATATTAAATCCACATTGAAAGGCTGATTTAAACCCTAAAATATTTTTTTATATTTCTTGAGTAAAATGAAAAAAAAGGGTCTCTGATTCCTCACACCATGGGGACGCTTCAATATCAAAATAATCACTAACATGGCCTTGAAGTTATGGAGAAGAAAATTCTCTTCCTGAACACAAGTATTATGTAAATCTAATTTTGATTTTTGCCAATCCTAACCTGGGTTCCATAATTTGAAAAAAATTAAATCCCTACAACCTAGGAATGTTTGTAAATTAATGGTTCTACTATGCTTATATAGTTCCATGAAAAAAAAAAAAAAAAACGATTCCCTATCCCCTATTCTGGCCCCATCCTTCCCCCAGGAGGCCATATCTTACCCCCTGAAGTCATGATTTGAAAAATTTAGAATCTACATGACCTCAGGAAGCTTCAATACAAGTTTCTCCTTTTCTTGCCAAATGGTTCTTGAAAAGAAGATTTTTTAATGACCTAATACAATTTTAACTTTCCTTGATTATTTCCCCTTGGAACAAAGCTTGGCTCTTTATTTGAACAATTTAGATAATTTCCCTAAATAACCAAGGATGATTTGTGCCAACTTTGGTTAAATTTGGCCAGGTGGTTCTTGAGAAGAAGTCAAAAATGTGAAAAATTCACAGAGGACAGATGTTGGACAATGGATGATCAGAAAGTTCATTGAGCTTTCAGCTCAGGAGAGCTGAAAACCTAATTTTTGGATGGAATTTTTATATATTTCTACATTTACCAGTGTATAATTTCTGTTGGGTTCAGTTTTATTTGGATAAATTGTTAAAAAGTAAGATCAATTTGACACACCATATTTTTTTTCAAAATACCTGTGCCCATCAAACTTATTGATTGATTCAACAGTTTAGACTTTGAAGTTATTGTTACATGAGGATAAAATATTCAGATTTAAAAGTATTGTGTTTTAGGTGACACTGGATATTGGATGATGAATATATCAAGTCACTTGGTTAATCCATTTTTGTACCACCCAGTTTTCCACCCAAAATATTAATAAATTTCTAAATCATTAATAAAATGAAAGGAAAAGGTTCCAGTTATAAAAAAAATTAATTGCCATATCCAGAATTGGATTATATGTATCATAATAAATATGTTGTAAAATGTTGACCTTTTTGCACTTAAAATTTCCAGAATTAACAAAAAAGACTAGGGGAGCACTTTCTTTTTCCTCTTTTTTGGATATCGCCATATGTAAATACCTGCTTAAGTAGTACACAAGCAAAAAATAATCAAAATCCATGACATGTCATGTGCCACCCTTTGCCAGAGTTCTGGTGGGCACTTCAAGTGATTCCCAAAACAGGGTACAACTTCAACGTATGCTAAAGAATAAGAATCAAAATAGAGCACAAAACCATTGACAATTTTAAAAAAAGTATTCTTATTAGACTCTTTTGGCCTTTAGTTACAAAGGGAACACATCACTATTTCTTTGTAATGCATGGTAGTCACCTACTTCAATAACTACAGTAAAAACGTACAGCAAATGACAAAACGGAATTTATTAATGATTTCTCTATGCTAATCGTAGACTTAGCAAGAAATGATCACATTTCAGGTTTTTTTTAATTTATCTAAATCAGTAAATATTTACTTACTTGCTCCGCTTTTCCACGAAAGGGATCGCAGGTAGTCGATGTTCGTTCGTATAATTATTCGATCATGACATGGATGTGGTGGAAAATTAATAATACATATAATATCAATTTAATTATTACTAATTTGTTCTATAATAAGAAAAACTGCTTTTCAATACGAACTCAGATTATAAATGTTGAATATTACGGTATATTAAAAATAGTACGAATAAGTATAGGACAAGTTAGTAATGTATCCATCATCACCTCCTCTGCGCATGTGCAATTGATAACAGAAAAATGGAAGCCAGTTGAGATTCATCATGGTACCAGTTTAGGAAGTATAATGGCGAGTACTTTTACCGGAGGATCAGCAAATACAGTTTCTAGGCCTCTGGATCGTATATTCGATGATGCTCAACACACTGGTGAAATTATTCTATGTGGTCGTAAACTGAAAGAGTATCCAAAAATAGCAGGAAAATATGATCTTGTCGATACCGTCTCCATAGGCAAGTGTCAAATTGAAGAAAAAAAAGATTTTGCTAGTTATTTGCTCATATATCAGTACTGATCATTGTAATATTTTTTAAATGTGTTTCGTATATTTACATTAACATGTGCAAATGACTAGCCTTTAAGTAACGATAGACATTGAACAATGAGCTCCGGTGATGACTAATGTTATGATTATATTTCACTGTGTCAAGATAATGAGAAAAGAAAACATCACAATTATTTGTCCCAGTTCAAAAAGAAAAAAAACAATATGCGAAGTATACAATTTTCAAATGAATTTGTACAAATTTTTGCAGTTATTTGACTACTATTGAAAGTAGAAAATACATGTTTTATATACCGCATGACCACAAAGTCACATATTTTTTACCCATTCACCGGATCATGACTGGATAAAAATTCACAGAAAATGAAAAGTTGTCCCTTATTTTGAGTTGTTTACCAGAAACTTCCATTTTTCTGTAACTCTCAACATTTAGTGACTTTAAAAAGCCAACCCCAGTATCCTGATTGCAGAGCTGCAAACCCTTAAGATTTCAGCGTAAGGGTTATGGTTTGAATTTCTAAAATATGCCTTACAATTTTCCCATTTATCCTAATGATCTCAGTTTCTCTCCATCAAAAGTTTGGAATGCTGGTATTTTCATAGCTGTCCACCTTAAGTTTTCACTTTATAATACAAAAGTCATAGTACTTACTGTGACTTACATTTCTATGCTAACCTGCAATTTAAATCATTTTATAGTAATCAAAATGTAAATATCTAGTGGTGGGGACCTGAATGGCCCCTGGACCTCTTCCGTACAATTTTTCATTTTATGATGTTGGCAACTCTGTAATTGACTTTGGCCAACTGAAGAAAAATTACCTTCCATCAGAAATACAATAACTTCTTCACTTTTTAAATTTTTAATGAATGTCACATCATTAGAAATGTCAGAAATTTTTCTTGCAGATAATATGAAAATTTACATATTTTCAAAACCATATAGCTAGTCAAAATGCAGATGAAAATCATAATTATATTTTAAAAATGGAATTATGTAATATTTTGATAAATATGCTGCTATGAAGTTTCAAATCAATTACATTCTTACCATTGCTTAAAGGAAAAATTATTCCCATCTAAAATGATGTATAAAATCTCAGAATTTATTTAAGGAATGAATTTGATACCTATCCAAGTTACATTGTATAACCTGGGTTCAGGGTTGGCAAAAAAACTGGGAAATACTCGTATTTCCCAGGACGGTGGAAAATACTGGTAATTACCGGGAATTATTGGTATTTCCCGGGAAATACTGGGAAATAAGTAATAGCTACATATTTCATTCATATTGACATGCAGTACACCTTATTGGCTAAGATATCTAACTGGTAACACTGTCTCTGATTTAAAAAATTCTGGTTTCCTAGTAATTCATTTTATTTAATCATAACACAGTATATTCATGTACCAGTCATGAGTGTCATTTGTTTCATGCTTGAGTCTGATGTAGTCTATAAAGGTCCAATGAACCCAAATATGCCAATTGTGTTTTTTATGTAACTAAAGAAGGATCTAAGAAAATCTTAAATGTAGAGTATGGTATAAATATCAAACCTAAGAAGAAGCCTTTCAGTTCTACTCAAGGTAATTATCTCTCAACAGGAGCACAAAACTGTCCAGAGCAATTTGTTAAAACAACATGATTGATTGTAATAACTACAGTGTTTATAGAAGGATTAAAACAAGTTTGTTTTGTTCTTGGATTTATAATTAAAACTTAATAATATTAAAAAACTGAAAAGAAACTTGAATTGGAAAACTTCAGTTTTATACATCCAGGGAAATGTTTCAGAATGCTTATGGTATGGAACCTGGAGTAGTGATACATTCTGAAAATGTTAAATTGCAATTTGAGACATATTCAATATTATTCATCTTCTGTTTTTATGTTTATTTTATTTTTGAATTTAGTATAAGATTGAATGAATTAAAGAAATAAAAAAACTTTAACTTTGTATTTCCCAGTAATACCCAATATTTCCCAGTTAAGAGAGAATTTGTAGTATTTCCCAGGACAGGAAATACCGGTATTTTCCACTGGTAATTCCCACCACTGGTATTTCCTGGCCAACCCTGCCTGGGTTGGGTCAGTGTATGCTTTAAATACCATGAAGTAGTTTGTAGAAAAAGTGTAAACTGCTCCAACCCAAGTTTAATAGGGGTGAAACGATACACCTCCTTCACGGTTCGATACAATTTTGGTATAATTTTGTCTCGGTACAGTTATTTTTGATACGATACATTTTGATAGAAGTAAACAAATTCAACATTGTTTTATGCTTTCTTTTACTAAATCTAGTCACTTAATTTACGAATTTTATTTGCAAATTGACTAGAAGAAATTGATTAGAATTATTTGACTGTCAAAAATTATTTTGCAAACTATCAATCCTCAAAAATTTACGTTTTCTATACTTACTTATACTGAGTAACGTGTTTTACCTTATCCCAAACCCGACTGAATAATGATCTCGACCGAAAAATGAACCGAACCGAAAATTAGAGATTTTGCACCATTTATCAAACGGAGAAAAAATACCGCGGTGAATCGATACCGTGGTGAACCGTTTCACTTCTAAGGTTGTACAAGTATAAGTTAACTTGGATAGCTGTTACATATATTCCTTTTATTTTAATTTTTCTATCATTAAATGTAAAAATAAAACAATTTTCCATTCCAAAATGCCTTTAAATTGTAAAAATTTTAAAAGTAACATCAATTGGGTTGATATCATGATAGCATGGTCAAGGTGAATCAGGTGCATGGGCTCTCTTTTTTTTTTTCTTTTTCTTTTTTCTTTTTTTTTTTTTTTTGTTTATTAAGTGCATAATTCTATTTTCAACAAACTATTAGACATATATGATATAAGACTAAACATGCCCAAAGTCATTAAGATTTTCATACCAAAGTAAATCTAACTGTAGTAAAATGTATAACTATTTAATGTTTTTATTTTGTTACAGATCTTTCCAAAAACAGGTTTACTGAAATTCCACCAGAAATATTTGAGTATCGCTCAGCAGAATGTTTAAACTGTTACCACAATGCTATTAAATTTGTTCCTGAAGCATTGTTACAGTTGCAGAATCTCACTCATCTTTGTCTCAGGTACAATTTAAAGTAACAATTTTTAGGGGTTGTATTTATTGTTATGGTTACCACAAGCTGAAATATTGAAGAGAATGAAGCTAAAATTACATTAGAGTAACACTTCTGAAAAATACTGATATAAAGGTAATATCATACACTTCTGGTCTGTTATTTTGCTAAAGATGACATGATTACTGTTCACAAGAAATGGAACATTTTGGGACTTGCAGGTGCTCTGACATGAAAACTGCACGATCAGTGTGCACATTCAGCATTTTTATACCCTCCTGTTGAAAGGTGATGGGGGGTGTCCGTGTGTCCGATACACTTGGGGGTAGCCTTCCCTTATCGGAAATTCCTCCTATACCACTGAATGCAATTTAATGAAACTTTCACAAAATCTTTATTACGTAGTGGCATTGTGCCTTTACCACTTTACGTTTTGATTGAACACATATTTGTAGTTTCCTATAGCAAAACATGGACACTGCCATTCTTTCTATAACATCTCTTATTCTCAAGTCTCCTATACCACTTGATAAAATTTAATGAGACTCTCACAGAATTTTTATTACACAGTGCCTTTGTGCACTTCCTTCCTATTTTACATTCTGATCAGACAGATGGGTTTCCAATAGCAAAACATGAACTTTACCATTATGCTCATGAATACAAAAGCAGGGGGATATCATTTTATGAGCTCAGTCCTCACAATACCTCTAGTTTTCATCGGTTCTCACTTGATGCACTTGCTATAGATGGTGTCATACAAAAGAACATGGCACTTGAATTGGAGGATTTCAAGAATGTGTCTTACTGAACATATGTGTGAATCAAATAAATGTGTATGAGATAAACTTTGTAATTTAATGAATTACTAACCAATATTTTTTTCAGTCGGAATCAGCTGACAGTCATACCCCCATTCATTAAATGTTTACAAGCTTTAGAAGTGTTTCTTGCCAGTCATAACAAATTGGTCTCGTTGCCAGAGGAAATTGGGGAGCTTAAAAGGCTTATGGAAATTGTAAGTAGCCTTTTCATGGATAAGTGAAATTCATCTAGCTATTGAAATATTCAGTTTTAACTATCAAAGCTCAAAGGGAAATTTTGTTATTGAACAATGTAAGGGGGATAACTCATGGTGTTAATTTTCACAAGCAGTAGACAAGATGAAGAAGCATATTCAACAAAGAGTAAATAAAGTATATATTGAAAATAAAAGATTTAGAAAACATACTGAAAACATAAGGAATATTTGTGCAAATTCAAACACCTATAATAAGGTGCTAAAAGAAAATTAGCAAAATCATACATCCACAAATTAAAAGTCCTATTCATTAATCATTATGGTGTAGAGCGGAGCTTAAAAGCCATGTAGAGATCATCCGACCAGAATTTTGGCAACCATGATGTTAGTGGATGCATTCACAACAAAAAATAGTACACTTCAATTTCTTTTGAACACTTTTCAATGAATACATCTTGAAAAAAAATTGCATCAATACATTGATACTGTTCTTATTCTAAAACTTGAAAAAAGTGGGGGCTGCATTATATTGATAGTTGCAGATGAATTTCAAACAATATCAGCAGACACATAGCAATGGTTTTTTCATTGAAAATGTTGTGTATACTAAAAGTACTACAAAAGCAAAGCTTAGATAAATAGAATAATACTAAAATAAATCCTTCCAAGTTCTTCAACTGTCCAAAAAGATATGTGTTGATTTCTTTAACAAGAACAGATCTTGTGTTTACTTTAGAAGGTGTATAGTTAATTCATACCCTGTTCAATTTGGACCATTGCCTAAGGCTCCATAACCATAACTGTAATATTTTGTTAACAATGTTTAATTTTATATTTAATTTTAAAAGAATTTATGAAATTATTTTTCATGTTCGATGCCATTGAAGCCTTTCAGGCTATTGCAATTGATAATAATGGTTATTGCTGTGAAGTTTTTCAATGTCAGCTGATCAGTGTATGAGTGTACACAACAGAATTCATATCATTTATGTTAAGAGTTTAACTTTTTAGGATGTCAGCTGCAATGAAATATCTCACTTGCCATCACAGATAGGGGATCTCAAATCCATGCAGTGTCTAAATGTTAGACGAAATCTGTTAATAGAGTTACCTCTGGGTAAGTGAATCTGACAACTTTTATACTCTTAATATAATTCTTCATGAGAAAGTATTAAGAAATTCAATTGTTCAAAATAACTTGTTTATTATTAATGTCACATGATTTTAAGTTGTCAAAAAATCAAAAAAAAGGGCTCTTGATTGTCTATAATTGGGGCCATTCAAGGGCCCCATTCCCAATTCAAAAACTTTAAAGGTACCTTTTATCCCAGTTGAATGCATTAATTTTCCCAATAGTCATTTCTCCCAAAAATTTAAGAAAATATAGTAAGATATATATAATAACTAAACTTGCTATTCATATTCCTCTGTATTGCAAAACAAAAATTTAGCTGATATCAAAGACCAGAAGCCCTATATATCATGATTTTAAAGTATCCAAAAATTTCCCAAAATGTTGCCTTTTTCCCAATCCTAATGGCCCCAGCCCCTTTCCCAAAAAGCAGTGTGAGAGCCCTGAAAAAGCTTATCAGTGAATCCTTCCCTTTGGCAAAGTGTGTGATTACCCACAGGGAAGTACGGGGGATGTGTTGGTCCATATATTGGTCATAATGTATCAATATGAAGAAAATCTAACAGTACAAGGGATGGAATACTCATGAACTAAAAAGCAAAAAGGATGGTGGAAGTAAATTTGAGAAAAATTAGAGCTGTATACAGTGTGTTACATGCATTAAATAACAATTACAGGAAACACTTTCATATATATACAAGTAGATGATAATAATTTGCTGTTTAATTGCCATGCTTATTCAATCAATGCATTCCTTCTTTGACCTTTACTTCATGATCAGCATACCAGGTGCTTGAAATGCTCACATAAAAAGTTTTACACACAAAAATTAATGATTTGCTATTTTAACCTCAGGTTCATACACATGTACATGTATTTAGAAGTTTACTAAATGTTTTATTTTTCTTTCTTCTAGAATTAAGTAAGTTACATTTACGGAAGTTAGATTTTTCAAGCAACAAGATTTCAACTATACCTACTGCATTTCGTAAGATAGAGACATTAGAAGAGATGATACTGGACCACAACCCACTGACCATGCCCCCAGCTCATGTAAGTGTACTATCTTCAAAATTAGTAGGTTATAAGAGAGAGAAATCTCATCCAGCAGCTCAGATAAGGGAGGTATCACAAGTTGAGAGGGACATGTTACTCAAGTTATATTTCTAGTGTTAACTTGGAGCATATAAAATACTTGTCAACCTGTAACCCTTGTTACCAAAGAGCTGAAATTTTTTTAATGTTTTTGTAATGATTTCTGTATTATGAAAAAAATGAAATTTGAGAATTATCAGGTTTTTAAAAATAAATCTCGTATGCTGTTCACATGTACTAAAAAGGTTTATTATTAACAGGTGTGTATCAAAGGTAAACGTCACATCATGAAGCTCCTTCAGATAGAGGCTATAAAGGAAGAACAGAAGAGAGACAATGATGCAGAAATGAAGAAACTGGTCCGCAAATCCATGCCTCCTCAAAATTCTATGTATGGGCTCACAATATTGTCATATTAAAGTGACACCTTGACGGAAAAACAGGAAAATTGACAAAAGTAGAATTTTTGCATGACACGTGCAAATTTTGTTCAGTTCTTGAAGATATTAGGTTTCAGAAAATTACAGGTTTCAGAACCTAAAAAATCTACTATTACAGAGAAAAATAAAAGTAAAAAAAATCTTTGTATAACCCAACACAAAAATATTGCTTCACTATTTCCTCTTTATTGTATGCATGCGCTGAAAGTTGAATAATTTACCATGGTGTCAATTCCATAGATATAAATGTCGGATGACCGAGAATTTTGATACAATCTTCAAAAAAGATTATCAGAACTTATTCCTAACTTTTGCTTGCTCCAATTCAATGTTGTTTACGAGCTCCACGCTAAAAATAAAGGACACGTGACCTTGACATTGTTGACATTGACGATAAAAATTAAGCGATAGATACAACACTTGTTTTTCCGGCACTTACATTTTGCAGCTCTTTTCTTGCTTTACAGTGCAGTTGAGCTCTCAAAACTTTGCTGTATTCATATTTCTCATAAATCTTTTGTTTTGTGATACAATTATCTTAAAAGAAACACATGATTTTGACTCATTACGTAACTTTAAATAACAGACAAGTAGGGGAAAAAAGAGTATCACAATTTTATGAATTTTTCCTTGTTAAAGTTTATTTATTTCTTCTTTATATTGTGTTACAGACCTGCAGAGGAATTTATGACAGATCCATCTCAAGAAAAATGGAAGAGACACACTGTGTTAAGTAATGATTCTGGATACAGCACCACAGATAGTTTGGAGAAGATTGGATGGTCCCCCAATGTGTCTGAGGTAGGTACTAAATCAATGTTGTCATTTTCAGTCTAAACTGATTTGTCCTTTTTGAGTCTTTCAGTTAGGAGTATTGTCAAGTCTGTCTCAAAAAAACTTTTTAATTAGACATTGAACTGTAAGCATTAAAGGTACTGATTAGTTTAATGCAGTTTGACTAATCTTTGTCACTCGTTGTTGTTTGAAACCAAGTAGTATTCTAGATGATCTTTATTTGATATTGCTGACCACAAGGAAGATGGCAACATGAAAATTTCTGATGAAACTGAAAAATGAAAATTATAAATAACATTTTTTCATAAAATGAGAAATATTTATTCATAAATCCCCATTATACATGTTTGCTTTATCACACATGTAGAAGAATTTATTAATGTTGAAATTTGTGGTCAGTAAACATTTCATTTGTACTACATACGTAGATATTTCTGCTTTGTTTTTTTTTTTTTTTTTCATTGAAATGTATTGCATGGTTTGATATGCAGTTATCGCAAGGACTTTCTCTTACAAAAAGTTTATTTCTGTGTATCCAGAACTGGCATCTTTTGATCTTGCTTGTATAATATTCATTTATATCTATATATATCCAGATAAAAATATATGTACAGTATATTTATAGATTCTTCTTTAGTGGAGTGAAAGTTCTTGTATTTTCTTAAGCAGGAATAAATTTATTAAAAGAAACATTAACCATCTCTCAGCTAAGATTAGTAAATCTTTCACCTACTTTAGGTTTTTTTAGCACAAAGTGAAGAATTTGAATAGGCAGTTTCTTTAAAGCCAGTTTAAAGGTTACTGATTATATGAACAGGTTTAGATATTTGCTTTAAATTATAAAGAAAAAGTTTTTGAGTTAGGCTGAGATGTACATGTAAATAGAGCTTACATGTAATTCTTGCGATAGCTGCACACAAATCATTGTTATTTGTGTGAGTGTACATCTAACTGCATGTTTTTGGCCCTGTTTAGGCGTTAAGCCAATGGCAGCATGGCGATTCTTCAGCTTATAAAGGGGTCGTGGCTAATGGTCCAGAAATAGACCCACCACGACGAGGGCTTGAATCTCGTCCTCCTCCAATAAACACAGCTTACAGTGGACCAAATACCAATCAGTTCTCACCTAAGACCCCCACCCCAGGGTATCCACCAACAGAACTCTCCCCACCCCCAGGGGAGCTATCACCTCAGTCACCTCTGACCCCCGTAACTCCTAGAATGCCAATTAGTGCCAGTGACCAAGCATTTTCAGAGAATGAATTTTCAAGGGTTAGTTTATTTTAATTCAAGTTTGCTTCTTAGTCTAATATTTGATCAAAAAAAAAGATACCCCTTTGTTATAAGGAAGCAGGTCTTTAAACTTATAATTACACTGGGAAGTCTGGTGTATGCAGCTGCTAATTATTAGCCCAGGTACTGCTTGAGACAGTTCATGTTGTTTTTATGTTATCCAACTCTCTGCAGAATTCTTTTTCTCATTTTCCTGTTTTATAGCATTCAGTAATCCTGTTGAATAGTTTGTCTCCTTTTTTTCAAACTTCTTATATGTTGTTGCATGGATCACCATTTTGACAGTATAGTGATCAGTTTGATATAGTGCCATTGTTGGAAAAGTTACCCACGTTACCAATATACTTCAAAATTGTAACAAGGATATCATGTTTATAAGAAGGATAATCTTCATAACAAAAATAGAGAAATTAGACAACTTGCAAATAATTACATGTATAGATTTCTTTGTAATTCAGGCAAGTTGAAATTGGCCCAGTATTTGCAGAAGTAGTATTTTTATAACTTTTGGCACCATTGACAATCTAGATTATGAATTGTTTGATAGGAACTTAATCGCCAGAAAGTAGAATATGAACGTAAGAAGAAGACTGCTGAACAGCTGAGAATTCAACAGGAAGAAGAGGAGAGGGAAACGAGACGAAAAGCTGCCCAAAAAATTCAAGAGGAGCAGAAAGCTCTTTTAGAAAAACAGTGGCAGGACTCAAGGTACAAATGTGGAAATGATGGGAAAAAAACAGCAATAAAATACTGCGTGTAGTCAAATTTATTCCCTCATTTTTTTTTCTCATGAGTTGTACATCTATAATTGAACATTCGAGACATTTAGAGCGTAAAATTTAAATCTAAATAGGACAAATGAAGCAGTTAAAGTAGAAGAAAACAGGAGACCAGAGAAAAAGCAGGAAGAACCTAAGGCTCTGTTGCCCCGCCCAGAACAAGAGGTCAACAAAGGGTCACAGGATGCCAGGAGATCTGTGGAAAACAAGTATGTCAGAACTGCTTATATGCTTTATACATGTACTTTGAACATTTTTTTTTTCAGATGTACTTTGCTCTGAATTAATGAACTCTACTCTTTATTTTCCTTGCAAAGTTAATCAATTTAATGCCAATGAAATGCACAAGTGCTTATGATTAAATGTAACAATTTATATAAATATGAATTATGGTATGATATTTGAACAAAGGGAATTGTGTTATGCATGGTTTGTTTATGTTACTGTTTTTGTGTTTATTCAGTGTGATTAACAAGATGAATGAATTTTTAATGTAGTACAATATTAACTAATTTTCAATTCTTTCCTTTTGAGAATGTAGTCACAAGGGTTAAGTATAGGAAATAAAAACTCGTAAACAGCTAGGAATAAAATAATAATGTTCTACATTGTCAGGGTGTTAGGTACATGTAAAACTAGAAAATTGACACAACTAAATAGATGTTGTACTGGTAAAACTGCCCTTTATAGCTCTTGCCGCAACTAATGCTACATTATTTTACCAATCTTAACATTTTTTTCTGCATCTGAAAATCACACAAAATGAAATCTTAGAGTCAGTATCATCTCCAAATCTTCAAGGAGAAAACTTTGATTGTTGACAGTTGTTTATTTTTTGCATGAAAGTTAGTCTTCTTAACTAATTAAATAAAATCTTTCTTTTTTTCATTTCTAAATAAAGCACAGCCATTTCAGATTTTCTTTAGAATGTAAACTGCACAAAAATAAGCTCTTTACACTGCACACTGGAGAGTTCTACTGAGTAATTCTGTGATATTTTTATGCAGTTAAGTGATCTGCCATGAAATCTAAAATATCTACAGTGTATTACTCAATTTATAATCAATTTCAAGCATTTGTAACATTAGACCAAAGTAAATTAATTAAAACCCTTATTTGCATGTATTTATTCCAAAGTAAGCAAGGATGATATCTGTTTATCAAAACTTTTTCTGAGTATTTTTCGGGGGGGGGGTCAGGTACACTATATTGAAAATGAAATAGAATAATTCAATATTTACACCTTTATACCATATAATCTTTTCAATGTCCAAAAGAAGTTCCTAATCTAAGAGTACAGGGAAAAAATGGCTATTTTAATCTTAATTGATTGCTGTCTTTAGCTGAGGAAAATCGTTTGTATTGAGAGAAGGTCAGCAATTCTTTAACAAACCTGTGTCACACATAATTATTTATTTACCAGTAATATAGAATATATGTATACTGCAGAGAGATTTTCCAAATTAAAGTGAGCTCCATTCTCTATTAGATGATAAGGCTTGGCACAATTTCCAATTACTATAACTATACAAATGTATAGTTACTCTTATGACTTCAATAAAGAAAAATAAATGTTAAGAAGAAATACACTGTAGATTATTTCCAAAGTTTTTACTATCAGTTTTTAGATACTAATATATAAACCTTTTTTTTTTCTTGTTTCTTGTTACCCCTTCAGCTGTTAATATCTTGTCCATTATCATATATTTTTCAGATGGACTATTCGGAGATTCTTCAAGTCAACACAAAACTAAAGCATTTTACATTTATTTTATATGTATATATATCAGATCACATTCTTTCCTCACGTCTTCATTTTAATAATCATCATATACTGAGTATATCATTACTTAAATAATTTGCATGTGCTTTGTCATGCAGAATGAACTTTCAGAATGAAAAAAAAAAAGAAGAAATACCATGTAATATATCAAAATTTCTAATACCAAATTCAAAGAATTTAATCTTACCAACTCTGCCTTCCTTGAAAATTAAAGAAAAAAAAAAGGCTGACCTTCTCTCAGAATTTAAGACATTAAGATGGGGAAATTCATGCCCTTGAATTTTGGATATTTTCCATTTATAAAACAAATTTTTGGCTTGAAAATATTTTTGAAAATATGTAACAATGCAAAATAGGCAAACAGGTGAGGATCTAAAAGTCTCTGTAATATTACCCTGTAAGGAGAATCTTGAAGCTTTTTTTTTTTCATATTCAACAAGTTGAATACATTAAATAACGCAAATCACATGGACACTGGCCTTACAGAAAGTTTCAGTCCATATACATGTAATACTGAGAAATTCTTTAGAAATATAAGTTAGGGCTATACAAAATTTGATATTATGCTAGATAATTTTATTACTTTAGAGGAAAACTAATACTTTTGTTTTCAGTTACAAGGTTTATCCAAGCCGACACCCTGCAGATTTCAACACCCCTACCCCCTTTGGTTACAAACCTCAGTATAACCATGGAAATGTGTCCCCTTACTCCCCAGTCTCTCCAGGATCACCCCCTGGATATTCATATGGACAAACAGTTCATTCTCCACACAGGAATGAACACCACAATCCTCAAGGGGTTTCTCCATATGGAGTTTCCCCACATGGTGCATCCCCTCAAGGGGTTTCACCAAACAGGCCCACATATAACCCTCGTGCAACTGGAAATCCTCCAAGGACTCTAGCACTTGACTCTCAGCATTATTCTGGATATGTGCAAGATGCTAGCATGGGAAATAGCAGCTCTTCCATTCACTCCCCTCCTCATGTTTCTCCGCATTCAGCAAAGACATCTGTGCCTCATTACGCTGCTCCATTGCAACGGAACAGCAGAAATGCAATGGATACCTATAGCATGAATTATAGGTACTGTATGAAACTTCTGCACTTGTGTGATGTAGAAATGCTCCACCTTGTAATACGTATCTTTTGTGCACATCTTTCTATCAATGTCTTAATCTGGCTTTCTAAGTATTAGGTTGCTCTTTTGTATACTACAGCAAAACCTTTTATTGTATCCTGATAATGTTGCATTATGATTTATTTCTGTATTGTGCATTTTGCATTGCTTGCTATACAAAATGCTTGCTATACACATTTTAAGTGCATTTCAATTAGTTTATTACCACTTTGTGTCCAACATTACACACACACCCTTACAGACATACACACACATGTATGAATCATGATCCTGCATTATAAGGATATTTACCAGGTATAAATATTTTTTTTATATATAAATGGTTGTGGATTAAGAATAAGAATACAGTATGAGAAATGATTTTGTATTGAGTCTGGAAATGAGTGGGAAATTGCTTGAAGGTTGCATTACTGTATTTGATTTGGTATTAACAGAGATTCCAATATTCTGTAAGAGATTTAGTAAACCTATCACTTTATCTGTACTCTGGATACAAACGTAAAGTGATTAGTAAAGAGTAGATTTATTGATTGATGACATTTGCATTGCTGAAAGTAACAATGATTCTCAGATTCTAAAATGTTAGCTAACAAGGCAAGTTAATTTATAAAAATACCATTGTGAGGGGAGAAATATAACAACATATATTTTTATTATATACTGACAAATGGGCTTGACATGTATATTCTTGTAAGTAGAAATGATACGTACTAAAGGAGTGGTTGGAAAGGAATGTATGTTTAAGGGTGCATGGTAAAAGGTAAAAGTTAGTACATCATATGTCACCTCTAATCTAAATTCAAATTATGCATGAGTAAATTTGTGAACAATTTAATGTGGAGCAAATGTTATTGCAGACAACCAAATCAAACTACCAACAGCGTGAACAAAGAGGAACAGAAGCCAACAAATGTTCCATTACGACGACAGGGTTCTGATTCAAATCAGAACCCTACGTCAAATCCTTCCACAGCCAAACCATCAGGGGCTAAAACAGGGGCCTCTGGTGCTCATAGCTCCACTTCGCGAATCAAAAAGTAAATATTGCCTCTATTTCCTCTGCATCATTTTTCTATTGGTCTAAGGGTAGAACCGATCCTTCTCCCATGCTTGTATTAGAAGCTTTGGCCTTCTCACTATTTTTAAAGTTACTGACTGCATGTTTCACAGTAATTTACCTAGACAGATTTAGAATATTCCTGCTAAGAGCAGTAGTAAAAGCAGTGCACAGAAAATAGATTTATAGGGAAAGGCGACATTTTAAAATGACTTGATGGGATAAGGCATAGCTCTGATTTCATCTCTGCTTTGAAATCTTGATATTCATTTACTTTGAGAAAAATATTCATTCGATTCAATTTAAAAAAAAAAAAGATGAGATTAATTTTTGTTCAATATTTACATTTATGTGGAAAGAGTAGTCAAACTTTTTAAGCCATTTATGCATCTTGGTAATTATAAACAGACAACCAACTAATGCCAAATAAAATAAAATTAATCCAATAATTTTCTTACTGGGCACTTTCAGTGCATGTATTAAACACCTTAACATTCACATAGAAATTAAAACTTTATTATAATAAACTATTATGTCTTGTATGTACTTGTATCATTTTAAAGAATTTAGAGTAAACAAGAAATATTCCTTAGCAATTCATATATTCCTCTCAGTATCTATATATATAAACATATGTGCATACTGTTAATGAGATTTACTTGAATCCCCCCTCTATCTTTTGAAGTTCTGTATTGCATGCCTGGGAGTGGATTAATTTTAAGTTAGAATGTGATTGTTGTGCTCATACTCTGTTGGTGATTTGACATTTTCCAGACCTGTTAGCAGAGGCATTCCCGTGTTGCGGCACAAACCGGGCAGGTAATATTGGACTGTTATGGCCATAATAAAGGACAGTATGATAATCATAGGACAGGGTGCTTTTTGTAATCATGATCATGCCATCTGTATTTATCTTTTCCTTGATCCCTTTCAGTATAGTGTATAATATATATATACAATCGGATTTACATATGCATATGAATAATGAATATACCATGACAAAATCTGTATTGCATGCAATATCAACACTTATTGATTCCAATATCAGCTGAGGATGGGTATGTCACTGTTGATATGGCAAGTAATATGAATTTTGTTATGTCGTGTTTACTATATATTTGAAATTGCAATCCATCTAATGTATTCATTGTTAGTGTTAAAATACTCTATAAAAAGCTTACAAAGCAGAATGTTCCTACCACACTAAGATGCATAGAGTCAATAAATATCCATGCAGTATAACTTTTTTCATCTACAATGAAAGTGAAATATATGAAAACTTCCAAGGTGTTCTGAATGGGATGTACATAGGCTGATACCTAGTTTAATTAAAAAAAGGCACGCTTCTTTGGTTTTCAGAAACGCAAGAAATAATTGGGTGGGAATATTTAATACATGTTTGTGATGAGAAATAGAATATCCTTTATGTGTGCAATGTTGATACTGCAGTTGTGAAACATTGATAGATATTATTAACCTTCACATGGAAAAAGAAAGACTACTAAAAATGAGCGAGTCATATGCTTATGGATTAAGGTTAAAAGTCAATAAGTTGCACATGATATATGTTTTTTCAGACCAACAGATATTAATGATTGTATTAATTTCCTTCACACATGACTGATTGATATGAAGGACATTGTTATGTTTTTTTTTAACCTGATTTCACACATTTTATCTCAAAAAAACAAATATTGATAGACTGAAAAAATTCATAATCAAAAAGAAACTAATATTTCATTCAAGTAAATTTTTCACCTGAAATAAATATGATTTATGTTTAAAAGTGGAGTGATTGATAAAGTCTGAATCATTCTGTGGATTTATAGGGAAGTTGGTGGTTACAGCAAGTATTTCCTGTGTGAAGTGTTTTAACATAATCTAGAGGTACTTGTGTTACTCAAGACAATGCACCAAATGACTTTACGCAGCAGACATATATATACAACTTATTTCATCTACCAGTACTCATTGTTTCTGTTTTAATGTGGTTTTCACTTAAGTAAATATATTAGTTTTTTCTCCTATTTTATAGTGCGTTTTATGTAAAGATATGTGTTTAATATGTACTGATACCTACTGTAAATTCACATATTTTTGTTTGGTCAAATTGTCATGGTTTGAGAAAAAACTAGGAGTTCATAGGGATTTGATTTGGTGGATGAAGAATTGTTGAGTAGTAATTTAAATGACATTTTACATTTTATGGTGGACGTGAATTTGAGGGGTCTCTTCATATCTTGAAAAAGATGAAAATTAACACCCTCCACGAAAATTAGTGATTTCACAGTATGTTACACAGACCCACCAAACAAAACAAAACAAAAAAATAAAAAAAAAATAAAAAACAGGGAAAAAAAAGCTGCATGAATCTATCTTTCTTTAAATGGTTATTTTTCTTTCAATTTTCTGTTCACACCTGGTATATTCTTTATATGTTATCCTCTTACTAGATGGTGAAGAATTATATTTATACTACTTGGTTAAATCTTGAACTATTCTGACTGCTATATATACATGTAATATTAACATGATGTAAATATAATGGTATATAAAAAAAATACTGATCATAGCATTAGAAGAACTATTGGAAAGTCTGGGTTTTATTTCCCTGAATAATATGTAGTTTTGTTTTACAAAAAAGGCCAATTTGAAAAATATGTCACAAAATTGATGATATTGTATATAAGTCTTTAAATGTGAAGAAATACATGTAGAACAGACTTAGTATACATTAATTTTCTTGAGTTTTTTCTTATGAAGACAGGCAAATTACATTTCTATTGATTGATAATGTTAAGAGCATAAATTTTTGAGAAGCTAAATGTTTAGGACTGTTTATTTTATTTCATCTGTGCTTGTTTTTCAGTACTGTAAATGGAGGAAATAGTCCTGGGATTTCCCCGAGCCCAAGTCCGAGGTCTTCTCTAGGATCTACAGGAACCAATAGTCCCAGTTCCTCTACATCTTCACTACACAAAATCGGTGACAAAGGTGGGCCGGCCACTCGACGAACCAAAACAACAGCCACCACGCCCTCTTCTGGGAGGGGTGCAGCAGGTGGGGAGAGAAGCAATGTTCCTCCTCCTACCCCTGTAAGAAGCAGTTCTAACAGACCATCTACAGGATCCTCACAGGTAAGTCTTCATTTCAGATTTCATCCTTCTTTGAAATTGGAGTTAGCAATTATTTTATTTTTTTTAATAAAGTACAATGAAATAGCTTAAAGAAATAAAACTTAGAATTAAAATTTTACATAGATTTTACTACAAATTTGAACAGAATTATGCTCTTACTATAGGCGTATAATAATGAAATTATTCCAGGAGGATGGTAAACCTGGTAAAGGTGGGCGAACAACACCTGGGGAAGATAAAAGACAGGTGCAAAAAAATGCTGTCAACAGTCTGATAGCCAAGGTAAATAGTCCTTCAGTGACCAGTAGGTTTCATGTTTACTGATACAACCAGATATTCTTTAGTGTGAATTAAAGTTGTCCTAAACTTATGATTGTGAGTAATCACTTTGAACAAAAATAATATTCATTGTTCAATTTTGGTATTGATAATGTGTGCATTTCTTAAACAACAGAGAGATGACAAGAAAACTCCACCTAACCCACCCCTCAGAACCAGTTATGGAGCAGCATCTCGCAGATCTGCAGGTTTGTAGATACTGATCAAGAAAGCTACTTTTCCATTTTGAAATTATAAAGGCATTTGACTTCATTTTCATCAATGTTTGGTACATTTTTACTTTTATCTAAAACATTTGACAATTTTAGAATCATTTGGCATCAAACTAGGTTTGGAAGTTAGTTCAAATTACTGCACTGTAAATTCTTATGGTAAAAAGGTTTCTGTCTTTCAGCTGAATAGTTTTTCTTTTAGGTTCAGGGAGTGCAATGAGAGTGATTGATAGTTACAAAGATGATGGAAATTTTACACTACGCCGACAAGAGGAACGCATGAAGGAAGAGGCAGAGCAATTAAATCGCCTCAGAATGGTAAATAGTTTATCATCTGTTTTTGTATGGATTTTAGCAACCTTCAAAAAATGGTACATGTATTTTAAATCTTAAAAGCATTGAGCATGGTTAGATTGTGATTAAGAATAGGGAGCACTGATAGTTTATCATTTTCAACAGACAATAGAGAAGAGACTGAAGGTGACGTTGCCAGATAATTTGCCGGAGTCCCTGAGGGATGGCGTGTTGCTGTGTCAGTTTGCCAATAACATAAGGCCGCGCTCTGTTCTCAGCATCCATGTTCCCTCACCTGCTGTGGTAAATATTTATATACAGTTCATAGTTCAGGTTGTGGTAGTTGCTCTATACCTACTTGATTTAATGGGGTTTTTTTTTTGGAAACGTATTGATATATGACAAAATAAAATTAGCTTTCAAACATATCAATTCAATGCCAGTATGATTTGCATAAGCTGCTTGTAGAATTTTTCCATCATTTCTTGTCCTAAAAAGTAGCACATGATTGTTGAATTATGAAGGTCCAATGCACAAGGTTAAATTTTTCCATGTTTTTGTTGATTTGATAAATTCATTTGTCTTATTATGTGTTATTTTTATTATATTTCAGCCAAAACTGACAATGGCAAAATGCCGAAAAAATGTTGAGAATTTTCTAGAAGCATGTCGAAAAGTTGGAGTAGGGAAGGTATAGTAAATCAAGGAACTATTTTTTTTAATTTATTAGTTTTGTTAAACAGACTTAAGTTTGTTAGCATTTTAACAGAGTGTTTCAAGATTCTGTATGATATTTTGTTACAAGTAAGCATCACAGTGTACATATTATTCAAGTCCTTGTTTCATGCTACATGTATATTTGTGTTTCAAAGTTTCTTTTTTGGCGTAATTTTGATATAATTTTGAAATTTTGCTGTAGTTTCTCTGAAATGCTGCTGGAATGTTGTTGTAGATACAGCAGTTGTGTGTAATATACATGAAAACAGATTGAACCACGGCTTTTAGAATTTTAATATCATTATTAAAATCAGATAACCAAATTTTTATATTAACCAGATCATGAGCTGAATCTACTTTTAACATTCCTGCTCTTGTAGAAAAAATTCATGATTTGATATTTTTTTTTTTATTGGAATTACATGTATATGTAAATTACTGTATATTGGACCAAATTTGTGAAAGTATGATTCCTGTGGAAGTGAAATAATTAAAAGAGAGACAAATCCAAAAAAAAAAAATGACCACAAAGCAGCTGCCATATGAAAGGAGAGCAAGTGAAGAAAACTTTGGGATCGTTCTGAAAGATTCTGTATTTCCAGGCAAGGAACGTGGTGGGCATATATCTTAACTCCCACATTAATCCTCACAACAGTTAGTTCCTTGTTATGTTCTAGTCCCACGTGAAATAGCTATTATACTTGTATCCTCGGTGCCTGCAGGATTTCACTGCTCTGTATATATCCTGCGCTTCATTGGTCATGCTTTTTGTGTATATGAATGTCTTCTGTTTATTTATCACACTTCATAATAATAACAAAATAATGTTAAAGAAATATTTGGGTTGGCCTAATTTTAAAAAATGAGTATGTTTTTAATAAACACCAGTAGAAATATGCCACATTTGATAAGCAATGTGAGTCTAGAAGTAAAATTCAAAAGATAAACAAGATTAGAATGATAGCATTTAGATTAGAATAGATGTGAGCACATGTATGACTCAGCTTGTGTTAATTTAGAACACAGATTGTTCCACAAGCTGACTAGTTGGATGCACTTTTATTTCAGACTAATACGTATAATTAAGTCATCTTTTGTTTTTAATCCTCAACTAGTTCATCATATTTAATTTGGTTGCTTTGCATTGCTGAAAATTTTGAGAACTGGCCAGTATCAATACCGATAATCATTTTTCATTTCCAAAAGAATATTAAATATCATTGTCAAAAATACATTTACCTATTGAGGCCTACTTGTATTCCCGGACAATGTTGGCATCTATTCCATAATGAACAATGGGCTAGAATCATTTTACATGTACTCGAGAAGTTCATTGCCCACTTCTGTATGAGTCATCCAATTATCTTCCCATGTTTGGAAATCACAAACAAATACAATAATATAAATCAAGATACAAGCATTAGACAATGAAGCTTTGGTACTCAGAGTTGTGGCTGAAAAAGTTCACTACTGCTTCCAGAAATATAGTGACTATGTATCTGGAGCCTTTTCAAGCCAGCATTATATTCCACTTAGAGCTACAAGCACTCTGCGGTATTTGATTTGTAAATTTTCATGATGATGATTAGAAGCATTTTAATTCAGTTCAACTCCACTGTAAATATGTATCTTTTGGGAAAAAAAAAGTGAATTAAATTCATTAAGATTACTTTGCTAAAAATCCTCTTTGTGGAAAGCAGAGGGCAGCAATACAACATACATGTAGCTAACGGAAGATGTATTGAAGGAAGATTTTCGGATATGCTATACATTGCTTTGAAAGTTAATACGGTTTTCGTATTGATATTTAAATACATTTATTTTCAGTATTGATAAGAAAAATTTTCAGTAATTTAATATCAATTTTTTCAGTAATGCAGAACTATTCAATCTGAGGATAAGTTTAAAGAATGGTTTTCTGAACTATTCAATTAGATGTCATATGAAGAATTTTTATGTACTAGGCTAATACTGGATTTTATATTCGTTTTTACTAAACAGAGGAATGATCTCGGTGGTTTTTCTACTTAATAGTTTTAAGAACCTGGTGATCTGGGAAATGCTGTAATCTTTGATGTAAACAATCATTTATATATTACTCATTACTCTAATAAACTTTTAATGGATAATTGAGTATATGGACTGAGTGTTGCACAGTATTTGTTTTAACGGAGCATGTATTATGAGTTTCATTTAATTTCCTAGAGCATGATTAACTCTGTTTGGAAGTAATTATACATCTATACACCATACATGATCTTATAACGTATTTAATTAAAATATATAACACAGTCTTACATTAAAGATGATATACATTGCTTAACTAGATAATTTTAATTAATTTTTTTTGGATAAAATTAATGTTCATGAAAGAAATTTCTTTGTCTAAGTCTACTTATTGAGAGAAATGACATTTTGTTCTGTAACTCGTTACAGGAGTTCCTTTGTGCATGTGATGATATAACAGAAGAACTTAGGCCAGCTCGGGTCTCAGTTACTGTGCAACACTTAGATCTGTGTCCAAGACTAACCCCACGAGACTTTGCTGTGGCCAAACTGTGTTTTCTTGTCTTTCTAGCTACTTGTATGGCTGTGATTTTAGGATATCTGTGATGCACTAAACTAATCTTTGTGATATTGATGCTACACTAATTTCAGTGTCTAAATATATACTTAGCCAAATGCTTGTTGGGGGTACAGTGTTTTATGAAATAATTTTATCTTGGAACATGTTCTAGTACGTATTTGTTATTGTAGAGCTTTAAAGTTCAACTTTTTCTGCATTAAAAACTTTTTGCATGAAACTGCCAATTTATCTTACTAATAGTCTGAGAGACCAAAGTCTGTGTTCTTTGATGGTAGAATATCTGAGAGAAATTTGATTGTCTAATTGTAATGTTTGTTTAATGGTGCTGATTTCTTCTCTTTTTTTATTATAACTTGCATGTTCTAAGAACTTGCATGTTCAAGTAATTTCAATTTACATTTGTATTTTCACCATCTTAACCTTTAATGTACTGCTGTTTGCACCTTGGCATTGATAACATATCCATTTTAAAACATTGGTGTATAAAAATGAAAGATGTTAAAAACAATATTTGTGCAAGTGTGAGCAAAGTTCCTGTATGTAGTAGCAGTCACATTAGATGTTGTTAAATTATAATTTGCACTAATACTGTAATAATGTACATAAATTAGCACACTCAAAATTAAGTGAAGTCCTTCTCTTCAATGGATTAGCACAATCATAAATTAGCGCATTTGAGTATTGAAAACAACAAGTATTAATTTACATCATGCACATATGTATGTTTACAGTATGTGCAGTGCAAATATTACAAATTGCAACTTATGCTGATATGTATATTATATGCCAGAACTGCTGAAGCAACTGTTGTTTTACTCTTAAGAGAGGTTTATCAGAAGCTTCTGAGTAAAGTACATCCATATGCTCTTTCAGAATGATAGTGATAACTGATAAGGAGTTTGTTTATGTGTGAGATTTGTTTTGTTTTTGAAATTAAGTGTATAAGGCAATAACTTAATACTGAGTATGATAATAATGTATAGGCAATAACTTTATACCGAGTATGATAACAGTGTATAGGCAATAACTTAATACTGAGTATGATAATAATGTATAGGCAATAACTTTATACTGAGTATGATTACAGTGTAAAAGGCAATAACTTAATACTGAGTATGATAAAAATGTATAGGCAGTAACTTTATACTGAGTATGACTACAGTGTATAGGCAATAACTATACTGAGTTTGATTACAATGGATAGGCAATAATTTAATACTGAGAATGATTACAGTGTGTAGGCAATAACTTAATAATTAGAATGATTACAGTGTATAGGCAATAACTTAATAATTAGAATGATTACAGTGTATAGGCAATAACTTAATAATTAGAATGATTACAGTGCATAGGCAATAACTTAATAATTAGAATGATTACAGTGTATAGGCAATAACTTAATACTGAGTATGATTACATTGTATAGGCAATAACTTAATAATTAGAATGATTACAATGTATAGGCAATAACTGTACCAAGTTTGATTACAATGTATAGGCAACAACTTAATACTGAGTATGATAACAGTGTATAGGCAATAACTTAATAATTAGAATGATTACAGTGTATAGGCAATAACTTAATACTGAGAATGATTACAGTGTGTAGGCAATAAATGTACTGAGTATGATTACAGTGTATAGGCAATAACTTAATACTGAGTATGATTACAATGTATAGGCAATAACTTAATACTGAGTATGATTACAGTGTATAGGCAATAACTTAATACTGAGTATGATTACAATGTATAGGCAATAACTTAATACTGAGTATGATAACAGTGTATAGGCAATAACTTAATACTGAGTATGATTACAGTGTGTAGGCAATAAATGTACTGAGTATGATTACAGTGTATAGGCAATAACTTAATACTGAGTATGATTACAATGTATAGGCAATAACTTAATACTGAGTATGATTACAGTGTATAGGCAATAACTTAATACTGAGTATGATTACAGTGTATAGGCAATAACTTAATACTGAGTATGATTACAGTGTATAGGCATTAACTTAATACTGAGTATGATTACAGTGTATAAGGCAGTATCTGTACTGAGTATAGGAATGATTTAATACTGATTATTAATACATTGTATAAGGCAATAACTGGACTGAGTAGGATTACAATGTATAGGCTAGAAGTACAAACTGAGAATGATTACATTGTATAAGGAAGTCACTGTACTGAGTATGATTACATTGTATCAGTATAAGGCAATGAATTGGAGCATGGTATGATTACAGTGTGAAATAATATTGTTTTTTAATGCTCCAAGTTACTTCAAAATTTTGTAGTGCTTTCAACAATACAAGTTTGTATTTGTTTTATTTACTGTGATTTGCAGGCAGACCAAACATTTTATGTTCCCAAAGAATCTGTTTAAACAAATATTGAAGGCTGTGAATTTTGTGCAATATAACCCTCGTCAAAGTTGTAAATGTAATTTTGTTACATGCTGAAATAAATGGAAATAGTGTATGTTCCTTTAATTATTAAAAGCTACTTGTAACAAAATATAAAGGAAGAATAATTACACTCATGAATTTTCAATTTATCACTGATATGGATGCAGAAGAGTCGTTATCAGATTAGATTCTGATTACCGGTAAACGCCAACAATATTCAAATCATAATTGATATTCTGACATCTTGTGAATATTTTATCTTGAACATGATTACCATTTCTTAGATTTAATGTATTCTGTTTTTTATTATTTATTAGGAGCAGATCTGTAGTTCACAAGACATTTTGGATGAGAGTGGTATTATACGTGTGTCTATAACAATTGCAGCCTTAGTAGCCATTTCAACAAATCCCAAAGCATCTGCTGTGTAGCCAGAGATTGCATTTAATCCCAGGATCCCAAAACTTACACTGCACAAGCTGATAGGAAGTCAGTTAACATGTCTCGCCACTAACGTTCAGCTATCAGAACTGTCATCAAGAACATCAGGTCGAGAAGTCCCAATTTTAGGGCATCTCGAAAATCCCAAAGTAAATACATATATAAAAGATGTGACAGTCAGTGCATTTTGCTGAATTAGTACATAATCTAAACACTTTTTTCTCAGAGGAACAGCGAATTCATATCAATTTTTTTTCTTTTTAAAAGTAAGTACCATTATGGGGAGGGGGAATTAAATCACACATATTGCCTGGATGCTGCATGTCAGGTATATTTAATCCAGAATTTCCATAAGCAGTGTGTAGCAGGGTCACAGACTGTGATAATACTCAAGTTTACTGTATAAATATAAATATTGTACTTAAAAAGTAGGTGTAGTTAGAAGATATGCTAAGTTTAATTTTTGTGCAGTAATAAATTGTAACGATAGGCAGATTATTTTGTAAATATGGGAAATGATTCTGTTCATACTGTTTATACATCTGTAACTCTGTTTCTTGAGAAGTAATTTGTAATGTTAACAGTTAACACTGAATTACTGGTCTTTATGAACTATAGAGTACACTGATGTCAATGCTGATTGTATTATGCATAAAGCATGTAAAGGTGCTATAATGTAGACTGATGTGTGTCACAGTTTTTATTTTTTTTTTGGACTTTGTGCATCAGAATTTATAACTATCTGCCTTTCAGAGAGAGTTGTAAAGCAGCTCCCCAAAGCAGTTTCCTAAGGTGACCTTGTGGCATTTTCTTTCCCTGATTTTTATTTTCCATTTGTTGTATTCTTTTTTTCCATTGTTACAGTAGTTTACCAGAAAAAAAATTAGTGCTAATACATGTAATTTAAAGGTTTCTTTGTAAATATGTGTACCTGGTTGAAACATGTTAGACACACCTGTAGAGTATATATATATATATATACCATCCCGGATAATTTACAGCAAAGCTACTGAGTTCCAAACTTATCCCTTTATTTTGGTGCCATATCTGTCCTCCAGGAGTTCCCATTTTAAAGATTTTTCCTTACATCATTCATGGTCCCAAATAACATATCTATGACATGTATGCCCTATATCCAAGAGAGTCTCTACAATAGATTAAAGGTATTTTAACACCCCCCCCCCCCCCCCTAAAAAAAAAAAAGATGATAATTTATGAGCAATCATACTCTAGGAGTTGCTCAAGAAAATGTCTCAAACATTAACTAGAAATGCTTTAAGGTATAAAACAAAAGCTGATTCATTACTGTTTATGGGAATAAAATGTGAAATGCCTGGATTTTACATTTCTATCAGCATTCAGTGTTTTACTTATTTGTACAGTATTTACTGCCAAGTAAAACATTTCTTTTATCATATGATGTGCAATATTTATTTTTATGTGATAATGTTCATGATAGTCAGAATAGTTGTTGCAGCTCTAACAAAATCATGCATGTTCAAACGGCAATTAGAAACTCTCTTTGCCTTTATCCTTTATAAACCTATCAATGGCCAGAGTTGAATGTTTACATGCTGTTCATATTGACAGTTGTGTCTTATTTATCCTTTATATGAGATTACAACTGCTACTAAATTAAGGGTATGCTGTCTTCAATTTTTTTTTTAAATAAAATATATGTACATCAAGTTGGTTATATAATTTTTCATTGATCAAACAAAGTTGGCACATGCAAATATTACTGTTAGGTGTGAAAAGAGAAGTAAATATAAAAGTTCAATGTCATGAATATGGGGGGACAAAGAGGCAAATTTACAAAAAGAAGTTTGTAGTTAAGGAATTCATGACATAATGTTTAAAGAATTGCTACAATGTAGTACTAATTTTCTTTGTACATTTGAAGTGTACTAGCACACAAATTACTTTAAATAAATAAATCAGATGACTAAATGCCTGTGAATGGTTTCGCAGCAAAAGCTTTGGGTGTTTTTCATTGTCGGACAATGGATGATTATTATGATTATTTTAGGTTTAAAATTGTCAGATTTGTAATGATTTTTTAATATTATTAAGACTTTTTTAAGCACACATATCTGCTTTGCTGTAAATCACTTAAGATTCACAAACCTGATGATACCGGCTTCTGTATATAGTAGCTTGATATTAACAACAAGGGTTAAAAAAAAAAATGTAGATGTCATTGTGTTTCTGCAACCATTTATTTGCTTTTTTACTGTTAAAATTAATTTAAAAGTTGCATAGACCTAGGTCAAGAGATTAAACATATGAAAATTAAAAAAAATACTAATTGAAATTTGTTGTTGTTTATTTTGTTTACATGTGATTGATGTTCGATCCATACATGCACATCGATCTTCAGGATGAACTTGTAAAATTAATGTTGCAGAACTTGGATATCCCCCCTCCACCCCATTCCAATTAGAAAATGGAGTAAACCATTAAATTGTTTGATAGAATATAATCTTAAGCAAGAGCTAGTAATATAGCCAACTTCATTTGAGCAATTTTCCACTTGAAAATTTAGCACTTCATTGACCCAAGTTTATCTTAAAGTAGGAATTTTTTTTAATGCAAGCCCATATTACAGCCTATGCAAATTAAGCTTGCACTAACATTTATAAAAGAAAAAAGTTGGTAAAATTAGAGATATGAAGTAATATAAATATATCTAATATATTATGATAATATATCAAACTCAAGACTGGATCTAAGATTTAATTCTATCAGATTAAGCATAAAGAGAACAACAATAGAGGTCAATGATGAGATATCTTGACATCTAGCAAAATTATAATTTAATCCTGAATTACAATCTACAGGAACAAAAGGAAGTTAATACACCTCCAGTGACTGGTGTTTGAATGTGATTCATTTGTTCAAAGATCTGTAATTTGGTTCTTATATAATACATACACTACACATTTTCACTCTATCTAGACAAACATTTCCCAATACTTTGATTAATCTGCACTAGCAACTGCTTACAAGGTAAACATAAATAATTGAACTGATCTTTAATATACACAATTCCTGATTCAAGTAGTAGTCCACAGTGTATACTGTTATCCTTGTGTTAAGTGTGCAGATATTTGACATTTCTCCATAGGCAGGACCAGGTTGACCTATTATGACAAAAATTATACCTTTGAAATGACTGAATACCTTTGAATAGTGAAGCAGCATCTAGTAACCATAATAACTTAACAGGTTCATTGAAGCTTTTATATGCATTATGAGTCTGTTTTTCAGATTCATGAAGTAAAGTTAGAATGACGTCTTTTCTTGCAATTATTAAGTTTTTTTACAACAAGGTTTCAGTGATCCACAGAATACCTAGTACTATAAATGATAGAATACCGTAATTCATTTTCTTCAATTTTGCCAACCCAAAGATCTCTTCATAATTTCATTTTCCAAACCTTGCGTCAAAGTGTTCTCAGTTTAAGGACAGATGATACAAACAAAAATATGGATGCCTGGATAGGTATATATTTTTGGACATATTTTAGTTGTAAATGATGTGAATAGAAAATTTCCAACATATTAAGAAAATTCTAAAATTTCTATGATGTTCAAAATTCTACCTTTCTGCAACCATCCTTATCAATCTATACAACTTTTCATCATTTTAAACCCTATTATTATGAAATTTTAAAAAAATATTAAAATCTATGTGGTTAAACCTATTCATTTTACAAATTTACTTATTTAAACACGACTCAATTAAGTTGTTATTTTCAGAATTTTTGATAAAAGTTTGTTTCATCTGCCCTTAAGTTACAATTATTTTCATTAGACCTTGATTTAAGAAAGTTCAAGGTAAAAAATTTGGTGCACCTCAACTTCATTTCATATATTTCCATGCTCCACTTTTGAAGTCCCAAATTATGGTATGGGTGCTCTTTAGGTTGAACCAAAGATTTTCTGATTGCCTATAGCTGTCATCATCTGTGTCCATTCGACTTCTCCTCCAGAACTGGGCAAATTTCAACCAACTTTCCACAAAGCATCCTTGGGTAAACAGGATTCAAGTTTGTTCAAATGAAGTACAACCCCTCTTAAAAGAGGGAGATAATCAAGAAAGGCAAAAATATGGCCTGGTAGGGTAGGGTCAAAATAGGTCATGTATTAAAGTTTTTTCATTGTTTCTAAAATCTTCTTAAAAAAAAAACCAGCAGGACCATAATCAGTGACATTATATGCAAGCATCCTCAGGTAAATTCTAAACTTGTTCAATTAAATGGCAGTGGGGTGTGTGTGGGGGGGGGGGGGGAGTAGGGCCACATTTAGGGGGTCAAATAGCTCTCTTTTTTGGAATAAGTGATTGGTACAACTCTTCAATTGAACTAAACCAGCATGATACAAATGTAAGCTTAAATCAATAGATTTAATTCACTATTAATGGAAAGAAATGTCCAAAAAAAAATTGAGAAACCTCTGATAAACATCTGTGTATATGTAAATTGAAATTTCCACAATGAAATGTAAACATACCTCCCATTCTTTATATTACTTTCAATGGGACATGCACCCCTATAGGGCAGAATCTGCACTAGAATTGAATTGACAGGCTTAATGACCAACTGTTTGATTCAGAACACAAAAACAGAATAAATTTTCATTTATTTAACCACATAATTTTAACAATGCCATGATTTTAATCAAAATGTCTCTCTCTCTAATTATGACACACAGTAACACACTTCAGCATCTGTATAGTGACTGGCAAAGTCAATATACAGCTTTGTTCTGTCTCTACATGACTATCCAGTGTACAATATGTAGATGAATTAAAAAACAAACCTTACTCAAAGCAAGGGAAATGCTACAGCAATAAATTTGACGCCACTGTACTTGGCTAATTTTGACACAATTATCCCTGAATGTTTCTGTCAATAAAATCAATCACTTATTCCTGTTTTTGTGTGCTTTCCTTATTGATCCCATCTAGTTAATTAGGTCTAAATATACAAATAACATTTTTGGATTTCATTATCTCTTTCAGTGCATTATATGTATTCTATTTTTCATCAATTCTTTCCTTTTCTGTCATTCAATAATTTGGGTTCTGATCAAAATATACTGTACACCCAGACTAGTTTCTATAATTAAAGTGACAATATATGTCCTTTTTAAGTAATTTTCCTTTGAAAAAAAGAGATAAAAAACAAATTGTACCACCAACTGTAAAAATGTATTGATATGAAAGAATGAATATGCCATTTCTTCATCAGACATTGAATAATAGACTCCATAAATTGATATGCCATTAATTTCACCATTTTCTCAATGATGTGTAACAAAATATCAAAAAAGTTAAATATGAATGAATTGTTAACTTCATGGTGTGTTGATAAGGGGGAAAAATTACAAGATCTAGCTACTTTAGTTAAAAATCCAAGAAAATTACATTTTGTTTTCTATCTAGCTTCAATATATGCAACAACTTTTGAATTCAGAGTAATATGCATATTTTTGTATTGGTTCATGGCTTTCAAGACAGGAAATTAAGCAAAGTTTAATCTAATTATGCAAAATTCAAGCAGCATCTATCCATAAGTCTAAATCTTATACCTAATCAAAAGAAAGGTACCATTACAAAACCATTTGTCCAGTTTTTTAGCAGTAAGTCAGAACATTGACTTTAAATAATCACCAAGTGGATTTCAACACTTGCATCTTGTAGATATTATTAAAAATGAAGGACTAAAGTTGACATTAAATGCCAATATATATTAAATACATAATAAAAAGTAATAAATAGGAATGAGACAGGCTTATTTGTTGGGTTCAATTCTACAGGTTGCATTATATAAGACATTTTACAGTTCATCAAAATTTGTCCAATGAATTGCTCTTCATTGCAGTTAATTTAATACAAATGCACTATAAGTCTATAATGGACCCACACAGAATACAAATTTTAGTTAACTCGATCTTTTCTTTTGTTATTAGAATGCAGTGTTTGAAATGATGAAAAGATGTAATATTGTTTGTTACTGGAATGTTGCCAACATCTACATGTAATTTCTCATATGTCCAAACTGTTTGAGAAAGTATTCATAAATGCAACAAATTTGATGTCACTGAGGTATATATATACATAAATTTCTCTCATTTAATGATAATCTAAAGGATTTACTAGTAATACATTTTCACTTTACTGTAGTGATGTCCACACTGAAAAAAATGAACCTTCATGTACAAGTAGATTATTAAAGTTAATTGAAAATGCAATGTTATACAAATTGCAATATTATTTTTTAAATCACTTGGACGGAAACATTTTGTACAGAAAAAAGAAAAAAAGATGTAATTAGTTCTCCCCATGTGTAAAATTCAAAACACTATAGTTTATACAATTACAAAAAAAAAAAAAAATTAAAGGTAAATTTAAAATTTCTGATTTCAAAGGGAAAAAGAAAACAGAGCTAAGGGACAGACAACAGTTAATTTGTCTCAATTTGTTCTAAATCTAAGTCCTCCTGAAGAGTGAAGATTTCCTCCACTTCATCTGAGTCACCCAGAAGCTGGACAGGTCCATCCTCCTCTTCCAGGTCATTGGGGTCATGATCCAGGAACTCAGCACTGCTTGTTCTCCCTTGCTCCATCTCTGTGATAGGACTTGTACTGGACTCCATGGCTCGACTTAGAGGGACATCTTTGTCCAGAGGAGAACTGGCAATAGGCATGAGACTCATGACAGACTCCAGCTCCTCATGGAATCGTGATACCCGTGATACTCTCCCCTTCTACAATCAAGAATGATTAGCATGTGTTAAAACTAAATATGTACACTGAATGCCTGTTCAAAACATTTCTAAAATCAGAAACAAATTTTATCAGTACCGATACTAATATGCAAACAAAAAAAAAAACAAAATTCAAATAACATAGTCTATATAAGTATTCAACTTGGAAATTCCTTAAGCAGACTGTGATATTCTAATGAGAATGGGTAAAAGAACACAAACCTCTGTCATTTTCAGGAAGTTCAGTGCCGGTCTCTGGTCATGGTCTCTTCGTCGTTTGACTCCATACTTTCTATCATGCAGTACAGAGGGCTGTGAACGACATCGAGGAATTCTGTGTCGGTGCGGCGATGACTGAACTGACCCAATAAATACAGGAACACTGGGAGTTGACCCTGCTGAAGAGCTTGATGAGATTTGGTCCTCATATGAAAGACTACGGTTGTCAAAAGCATGAAGCCTTTGGTATGAAATGTCATGACGACCCGAACATGTGGAAGTGGATGAAGGGCGGGGAATGGGTGATTCAGGTGGGGTGAAAATATCAGGTGGTATATGTAATCCTTGACCTCCTCCCGGCTCATAATGAAAATTTGTGGGAGCTATACTAATAAAATCTGAAGTCTGTTGGGTGAGGTCACTGCACTTCGAAGGATTTAAGTAACAAGGATTTGTGGGGTGTTGTCTGTCACTGGATATCACAGCTACTGGCCTCCAGACTTGTGTCTCCTGAGGTTGCCATCTTTGTGGACACATTTTATCTGCAGGTACAGATAGTGAACGACAGTGTCTCTTTGAGGGTGGATCCACTTGGCAGTTGGCATTTTTGTCACACACTGACTGCTCCCTATAGTTTTCTGGGTAACCCTCAAAAGGAGAGCCACTCATTACATTGTCTCTTTCATTAGGGTTCAGCTGTACTGTAAACACCTTTTTGTCTGCAAAAGAAAACAAAGATATCCAAAGATTATGAAGCTCACCTCAATGGATGTTATCTATAAGAAAAACAAAGTCTCAAACCAAATAAATGTTCTGGTAATTTGCATCTCTAGATACAGCATTCTGAGGTCTGGGTAGGACTTACAGTAACTTGGGTATGTACCTATCAGTAATCAAGACAATATTCAATCATCAATCAAGATTAGATAAAAGCATCTGAAGTAAATCTGGCAGTGTGCATCCTTAGATGCATCATTTCATGTACGTATGGTCCAGGTATGGCAAATAGTTACTTGAAAAAGGACCTGCTCCAAAAACTTTTAACTTGTTCACCTATACAAAAAATGTAGGTCAGATCCAGCATCCAAGGCAAGTCTGGTAGAGTTCATCCCTAAATGCATCATCCATGAAAGTTTAGTCACCATAGGGCTTATAATTACTTGGGAATGAGACCTACTCCAAAACCTTTTACCTATTCATTCATCTGGAAAATGTACGTCAGATCCGGCATCCGAAGCAAGTCTGGTAGTATGCATCTGTAGATGCATCATCCATGCAAATTCGGTCCAGGTAGGGCATATAGTTACTCAGGAATGAGACATGCTCTTAAAACTTTAACCAGCCCCAAAATCAGCCAGGCTGAAAATGCAGCATCTGAAATCTGACTGGTACACTGTGAAACATGCTACAAATACTTCAAAAGAAAACTGCTCCAAAAAATTTAACCTGGGATGTCAACTGTATAGCAAAAGCTCCCCCTGACTTTGTCAAGGTAAGCTAAAAATTATCATCTTTATCTATAATTAATTATTTAAATCAAGAAAATAAAATTTTAATAGAGTCCACATCCTTCACATTTAGAATTTTATGAACCTTGCTGTCCTTTTGTTGTAACAGGATAACCATATATATGACTTCTTACCATACAACGGTCATCACACAAAAACTTGAATTCATATATAAATTTAAATCATATCTTTTCAATGATTTTATTCAACTAAATAGACTTAACTTTTTATCACTATAGTGCCATTTTACTGATAAGAGAAATCAAATAGATCCAGCAATTACTAGGAAACTAATTAAAAAAAGAAGATTTTTCCCATTCTATCTGCATGCCTTTAATGACCAATATATTGATGATGATCTTTGCTCCATCCATGAACTCGTGTTATGTGAACTTGTAGACAATATAACATTTACATGTAATTGAATCTGTTTTGTCTAGCAGTGAATCTAAGAACATTAGACTGGTAACATGAGTGTCTTAATTCTTTGCTATATCCGGGGTATTACCATGTCTGGCAGATTAATTCATAAACTACTTTTACATAATTTAATATGTCGTGTATTTCTTATAAACCCCTTTGGTTTAGCTGACATTTACTGATTTCATCATGTTTGATTCAAGATATATTCAATATAAAAGCATAACCATGTCAGAAAACGGCATTTATGTTTTCTCTTTAAACGACAACAAATGGAAGTGATACTAACTAGGACAATCCAATATAGTCAAGAAATGAATTTTTTGTTAAAAAATACTAATTTATTAAACTTTTATTCGGGCACATTGCATTTTTTGAAAATGTCTCCAATACAGGTACATAACTAGAATTGTGTTCACAGGACATGAGTGCTGACCAGGGTTGTAATATGAAAATTATTGTTTGAAATATTGTTTGAAACTGAGCTAAATGCAAAGTGTGACAGAAGGACAGGCAGAAGGACAGAGTGATGGAAGACAGTCATGACAATCACTATATGCCCCAGCCATATTCATATCGGGGCATAAAAAAGTTCTATCAATGCAAAACTTAAATCTACTTTAAGCTCTTCAACCTTGATGAACTCTTTAAAGTACCAGTTATACATGTTCATTGAATTCTGTTTGTGCAACTCATTTTAAATTTCCTTTAATTTAAAGTGAATTTGTACAACATATTAAAAAAAATGTCTCAACACTGCACTTATACACTGGGATATATGTTACTATGCACCTAAATTAGTCACTAGAGCTGGGGTCAAGATCACATTTATATTTTTTTCCCCTACCATTTAATGTTTCATTAAAATTAATCTGTGTATAAAACCATATAAAATATCCCTTTGCAGAATTCAGAAAAATGTGCTAAAAGAAGAATATAGAAATGTGAAATTAACATCATGATGAAGGTGCAAGACAATAAATTCTGTTATCATGCAGACAAGATATATTTTTGTATGAATCTGAACAAAGACATTCCAATCTACTAAACTTGATGCAAAATAAAGATATTTGCTATGACCATAAATTCAATATCATTTAACATGATGTATTTCAATATCTATGTAGTTGTATTAAAGAATGTAGTACTTAAAGAATTTTTTGCAGTATATTTTTGAAAAAGTTAATGAAAATTGTGTACCAAATCTGGATGGAAGGAATACCAAAGACCTGATATGATAAATGCCCCAGGTAATATGTATTATTCAGGGCATTAAAAATATGATCGTGCATTTAATACTTCAATATATTTTTTAAAAAACTTCAGTGCTATCATAAATCTAAAACATGTATACTTATAGTATATTTATATAAACATGCAGTTGAACTTCGGTATCTCGAACATGGATATCTCGAATAGGATATGTTGAGGTGATTGAGAAGTCCTAACCACGTATTTCTTAAGTATTTTACCCTCAATATCTCGAACCCTCAGATATCTCAGTTTTATCTTGGTCCCATCGAGTTCAAGATAATAAGGTTTGACTGTATTTATAATATGTATCTGTATATGGTGTGCTTATATATTGATATTACATATATATACAGTGTTCACAATTAATTTTTAATACCTCTTTCATATTTTGTAATCAGATACATCTGGTGTAAAATTCCAGCACAATCTTTTGCATTTTTAACACCTAGCTTGTGAAATATGCAGTAGGCCAATGGGTCATACTACACTTCGGAGTCAAATTCTCTTTCAGATATATAAACTTTCACATATAAAGCACTTCTCAATTTGTTTTTTTAAATTTTCAAATTCAAGTTTATTAGGAAGCTTTTAAATATTATTTTGGCTTTCCTACCCAAGTAGTTTAATTTAGACACCACCACTTTTAAATTATCCCATATTTCAAAATGTGTTCTTTATAATCTTCCTCTGCATTGGGCAAAGGTGACTCTTAATTAGAAAATAAAAATATGGCCTGTACCAGTAACTGTAGTTTAAATTAATCCACTAATTCTGAACAGAAGTCAGATTTATGAAAAATCTACAGATGTACAGAGACAGACAAAACTTCTATTAGATTAACTTAACCCCTAATTAGACTCAGGTGGGCTAAAAGTTTAATACAGTCGAACCTTCTTATCTCAAACTTCAAGGGACCAAGAATATACTTCGAGATATCCAGGGTAAAATACTTATGAAATAAGCACTTGAGACTTCAAAATCACTTCGACATATCCATGATATTCAAGATATCCGTGTTCGAGATACCGAAGTTCAACTGTATTCCATTGAACAAAAGGAACTACAAACACATCAATAGCATAGGAGTCCATTATATGATGTGCTCTAGCAATGGTGTGAAACATGTAATGATGGTATAATAACCTGGACATAGAAATGTATGATTAATATGATCTGTCAAGTGAAACATCATACACATATTATGATTAGCATTACCTGCCCCTGCCAGCCTGGCTTCAGCATTGCGACTTAGTCTAAAACCTTCCCCAGGACGGATCTGTAAAGAAAGGAACACCTTCAAAAATGTCATTAACATCTTCTATACATATATATATTTTTTCTTTATTTATCTAATATTACTTGCAATTTTACCAAAGAGAGAAATCAATACATCTTATTTAGAAGAGAAAATTTATTACCACATCTGAATCAAAACTCAATTTAAAATCGAAGGGCACATAACACAAATGCTCAAAGAAACATTAATAAAACTGAAATGTCAGAATATATATATATCTTTAGCCTGTGCCAACACCTTAGTTATTCAATCATATGCAACACTAATTTTCTTTTTCAGGTGAAAGATTCAAGGCCAATTTTTATTGACAGAAAGAGAGGTTATGTGTTTACTAAAAAAAAAAAAATCAATATCTTTTACTGCATTTGAGTATATACCATATTTGCCCCAATAACCATCCATGTCTCTATAATAAAAGCACGAGGCTCTGTTTTCAGTATGAAAATCTCAAGTTCACCAGAGTACAATTTAATCTTAAAATATTTTTTCATTCATTTCATTCAATGTGTTTTAATGTATGACATGAAATCTTATTTCAGATACATCATATATTAATACTAAAGAGCTGATATGAAAAAAAAATATCCTCTTTTCTGATGTGGCAACTATGGTTCTGAACAGTCTGGGTCCTAGTTAGGGCAAATGCTGCACACATACATCATGATATTAGTATCTAAGGGTCCTAATAGACTAAGCACTGGTGTAATATATATGTATAACTTCTTTATATTATATTTTAAATTAACATGTTGATTTATCTTCAGAATATATCAGATGTTTTAAAAAGGTACCCCATCCCCCTCCCCCTTCCCTACAAACCTTTCATTCTACTCTACGAGAATAATTTTGTCTAGAACACTCGTTTCCCTAGAATATAATTTTTTTTTCATGAGTTTGGGGTGAAAATTGACAGAATATCAAAGGTCAGCATAAAGACAATGCATTTAAGTAAATATTCCAATGAGTACCTTTCCTTAAAATATTCTAGGTGTAGGAGCAATTTAAATTTTATGTTCAAGAGAAGATCATTAAGACACACAAAGAGAAGATTGTCTTTACATTATGTGTAAGATAACTATCGGTACATGCTCTCTTTGTAACATGAGTTCTCACCTGAATGCCTTTATGATACGGAAAATAAATTGTAGCGCCATAGAACTGAAATAATCTTTATCTATATTAAGTATTTTTGTCATTGATAAGTATATATAACCACTGAAATATGAAACTGGCATTCAGGTACAGTTTTCCCTCTCAAAAAGACTAATATAATAAACAATAAGACACCCTAAAGAAAAACAATATAACTGTCCTACGTGAAGTGGAATTCAAAATAATGATTGGAAGAACACCATTGTCACAAGTGATAATATCTTTTAATATATACACGATTGCAAACTGAGATATAGCAAGACAAGCATGTGTCAGAAGTGGGAGCAAAGAGGTGGACATTGTATGATTACCTTTGCAATGTTCAAGCTCTTTAAAAGGAACCTCAAAGGTCTTTTTATTCAAAGGCTTCTTTATATTAAAATGATACGAACAGATCTCTTTATTATGCTAAACAAGTTAAAACATTTAGATGGTAGATATTCATTTTTATGGGTCAAAACTCATGTTAAGTAAATATCTTCCTCTTGGTTCAGTTAGTACTGCATGTGTTGCTATACACACGTTTTCAACTATTCCCATGTATGTTGAAGCTTATCGACAAAAAAAATATACAATCAGATATCTGAAGAAATATACTGAAGTATCCCAATGTCATTCTGGAGATGGTACGTACATTCCAAGTGTATTCAAGGGATATATGCATTTTTTCAGATAAAAATAGATTGAATCTGAAGAAAAATCCATTTCAAGTTTATTTTAATACATAAAATACTTCACTTTACTCTACAGGCAGGAAAAAGTAAATTTTGATACTTACAAACTTTATTTGTGATGAATTTTGATTGTTTGATTCTTCCAATGACTGCTCACGAAACTTCTTAGCCAGAATATCCATGGTCAAGACTGAACTGCCTTCGACAGCCTGGGGGAACAATTCTCGTGCCACAAATGATGACATTGCTCCCAAGGGAAAAAAAATCACAAGTTATCACAGAGATGCTTAGGTACAATCAAATTCATCGTGGTCAGGACATGTAATCTTTGAGTGCCACTACACTAGCGCACAGGAGATAGTCCTCCATAATTCATAGTATTTTTTCCCCAATCACACCTGAAATAATAAAACAATCATGTTCAATAATACAGTGGTTCACCAGGATAATTGTTTTTGCCGGTCAATGTTGGAATCACAGCCCTTGGTTCCAGCACAAAAATACTTCCTGGCCTCAGCAACTAGCAGAGGGATGAGAAAAATCAATGTGCCCTGACTGTTTTATTGCTACGATCAGATTACAGGCTCTTTTTTCTCTGTGTAGTCTGAAAACTTGTACTGCTATCGGGTACCTGCAATACCTTCAAAATGACCGGATCCACAAAAATTCTCCTCTAATCCAACACACTTCATTGATTTCCATGTGTCGAATCAACAATTATGGCCTCTAGCCAAGTATGCACAAAAAATTCAACGACAGATTTCCATATACCAGTAACATTAAGTCTTGGTGAAGTGGTTTAATTGACTTCAATTACCAATCGAAGGCTATAAATCTAGAAATATATATCACATCTATTCACTTAATCAAATGGCTTGTACCTCACATTTCAGTTCAAAATGCCTTTCAATATAAACCCAGGTATTTTTAAGTACTACAAACAACCAGTTGTAGGGCCTGTTTTTTACTACTCGATAATTTCTCAGCACAAGCGTTTCACACAGGGCAATGTGCCAGACCTTTTAAAATCATTAGATACGAGTGTGGTCACAAAAAGACAACATTCGACCTAGTGTACACAATGTGCGAGCATACGTCATGAAACAAAATCAGTCATTTACTGCAATACACAAGGTCACATGGTCTGTTTGTACAGACCCCTTAAAGCCCTTAATACAGATTAAAGAATTACAAACTTCTTACTCCATAAAGATTAAATAAATTATGCTATTATTGGGATATAAAATTACATGTCTTACTTCACTTACCTCTTAAACAAGCACACTTTGTCATACAATTATGGTTTAATATAATGATTTCAAAACTTTAATATTTTTTTAAGGACAAATGTGCAAACATCTTAATATATGTACTCTACATCTGTACATGGTTAAACCATTATCTCACAATGTAAACAATTAGAAGACCCCTCAAGGGATGGACAAATTTTAAGAACACCTAGTACTTGTGAAAATAACACTTAATTCTGAGAAGAAAAGCAATGCCATAGGGGGTAGTGTTTCAACAGGGTTTTAAGTTATTACATCATTAGGTGGCCTAACACACAAAAAAGATTTCAAAAGTAATGTTATCTTTAAATCTTTATTCCATCCAAAACAACATTTATTCAAAGTACAAGAAATTCTAGAGAATGGAAATTCACAGTTCTGTATAACTGATATGAAATAAAATTGATTTCTTCAAACTGTTAAAGCAACCTTAAAAAAAAATCACTTATCAAGCTTTAAGGTGGTTGACAGATTGGTTGTGGTCATTAAATAGCTTTTACTCATCCTGTGTGAGGAAAGGCAAGAGAGGGTATTGTTTCGAATTATTGATGTTTTAAGAACTCTGCAAATACTGTTCAAAGTTTGGCAAATATGCTGACATCAAAAATGATGGTGATAAAGCACTTCACAATGATAAGGAGTTTCTTTTCCCAAACTTTGACAGAACCATATGATAAAATGGTCATTGTAATGTTGCAGTGAATGCCTTGATGATTGTGAAGTGAATGCAATGTTTACTACCATTAGGTTTGGGAAAGTAAAAAAGAAGAGTTACAACCCTCATCCTAAAAATGATGAAAGGACTTTTTTTTTTAAAATCAAAAAATTAAATTAGGTAAAAAAAAAAATAATAGTCTTGTTTCCTGCTACATACCAACCCTATTTTTTGCACCCAAACCTAAAAGTTTTTTTTTTTAGTTTTGGAAAAAGAAATCAGGAATTTCCAGAATTTCATTGTTCTGTCACCGTAATCGGTTTCCATGTTAACACAAAACAAGCATTTCATGAAATTCTATGTATTAAATATGGACTTTTATAAAATACCACTTGAATTGTGCATCAAAAGACATGAAATTTAATTTTAAACATGTTTAATTTGATCTTGTATTAGTTCATATCCAAAGAATGCCATTGGAAAAAAATAAAATAAAATTCCTACCTACCTACCCTGTTTTTTCAGGCTTGTAGCAGGAAACAAGACTATTATTTTTATTTTTTTTTTGGCCTTACATAGCTAGGTTAGGTGGTGAGAAGAGTTTTGCTACATGCAAAAGATGTAACTCCTCAATAAGACAATCTTCATTTTTTCATGAACAAAGAAAGAGCAATAAATAAAATCATACTCAAGCAGCTGCTCTCCAATACCTTCTTCCTCAAAGGTTTTTTTTTAGTTTTCATACATCCAATACTCATATTTTTTGATGATGTAAAAAAAAAAGAAAAAAAAAGAAAGCAAAACTGATTACAAACTGATAACATTATTAAAAATATCTCACTTTCAGGTTTATATATAAATTATATTTATAATATATATAATACTTTCAAATACACATCACTTTTGGCATTTCAAATTTCTGCAAACTGGTTCAATTTTATTCATTGTTGTAAACCTAGATATAAAACATATTATAAAAAGCTAGAGCATCTAAAAAATTTAAGCTGGATTTTCTCTTCCATATCATATTTTTTCAATAATTATAATTTCAATAAAAAAAACAGAATCAATAAAAAAAAATTTCATATTATTCTGAAAATTTAGCAAAGTAAATTTAAAGCCCTTCCCAGATGCAAAATATGCTGAACAATGAAATAATCAGCAATCTTTCTGTAGGTATATATGAAATGCTAAAAAAAAATAATTATATTTTACATTGCAAATATCATTTGGACATTACAATTTTTAGGGGCTGGGGTGGGGTGAGGTGAGGGGTCGCCCACCCCCTCCCAATGCAGAATAATCAAAAGTACAACATAATCAATGCTTACTTCGATTGCACTACATTCCAGTATTCAGTATGTTATCAGATATTGGGTACAAATTCACCTGTTTGGAGTATATAATTTAGCTAAACTTGTACCATGGTTCATATCAATTCTTGCCAAGGTCAGATTTTAATTCAACTTTCAGAATCTTTATCATGTTTAAGTGATATAAAGAATCAATGATCAATCATGTTTTAATTTCCTTTTATAGAAATGGCAAAATAAAGGTTGCTGTGCAAATATGTCTACATTTGATTATAATGCACTAAATACAAATGTTAAAGAGATATCTGACAATTTCTTCCACCTTTAGATATAAAAACCAATTAGAATTTAAATATTACACATATTCCTAACATTTTACTTCATTGGAAAGTCAATAATTCTCTCATTTATTTCAGAAAAGAAAGCGTCTACCCCTGAATTAAGTATTTTTATATATGTATTATCACAAAGTACCAATTAATATTACAGCTGACGACTAAGGCAATGGTTCATTTCACCATGGATAGATTTTGATATGCCAAGTTATACAAAGTTGACATAATATTCTATAGATCCCTAAATCCAATCTAAAATACACGGAGCAGTGGCAATGTAAATATTTTAATTTAATATTACTAAATAAACTGGCCTACTTTTTCTTCCCTCAGGCTCTATAGATTGCAAGTGATTGAACGCCACAGAATGACACTCGTGTTGATATAAAATTTATTATAATCTACAAAACATCTCAGCTTTAGTTTTATATATATATACATGTATATATTACTTATAGCTAAATATCTTTCAAATGAGCAAATGTCATATTCCCCTGTTTCTCTCTAACTTCTAATTATCATCTGATCACCCACCCACTTACTTTGGACTGCTAGCTGAGGGAGAACCACCAATGTCCTGTTGTATTGCTTTCACTGTTGAGTCATCAGCATTATTTCCCAAAAGAGCTGCTTCAAGCACTAATGTAATATTATTTCCAAAATGGAGGGGAAATAGACCTCGCTAATATTTGTACTGCAGGAAGAGAGATCTGGATGGCGTCCAAAATGCAAACAATGAGGATCCACATATATACAATTAGAGGGCTACCCTCTTATTAAAGGTCATTTATTTCCAATCTTTCACAAAAGCACAAGCTCTAAAGATATTTAAATATGTCAAAACCAAACAGCCTACTTGATTGAATATGTCAACTGAAGTTTGTACATAAGAAAAGCATTTCGTACAAACAGTTTGCTCAGAGTGATCTTCTGAAAGCTTTCACTTTTAATTTATCATATTTTCTACAGAACAGCTATAAAAGCCCTCCTACACACTTCAGAAATTCACTCTGCACATTCTTATGCATATATAATCTCCTTTGAAAATGTAATCAGTGGCTTGAGTCTGAAGTAATTAAAAAATTCAATGGAAAAACATAACCTTCCAATCTTAATCTCTTTTTAACTCAATAGGCAATGTACACAAATTCAGGCAAGCCTATCCAAAAAATATCTATACCCTGGTTACTTGCTTCACAATATTATCCCATTTCTGGAATCCTGTATATAAAGAATTTAAAATGTTACTATACACTGATACATTTATTTCCTAATTGAATTGTAAACACATAAGAAACAGGTGTTAAATCAACCTGTTAAGGTATGAAATATTTGTATAAAGGAAGGATGCAATTCATTCTATGCAACATATATGCCATGACACTTATACAAATTAAATGTATCTTACCGAGAGTCAATTTCCTATTTGTCTTTGATACCACCATGTATTTCATTACCATGATTTTTTTTTATCAGTAATAAAAGTAATAAAAAATAACCTTGAACCACCCCCCTCCCCGGGAAACATGAACCCCTCTTAAAAATTGTAAGGAGAGTCATCTATCTGAAGAAAACTGACTTAAAAAAGTGTCTTCTTTTACACACGTAGAAGGGGGACCTCTCAAACCCCCAAATAGCATTTTCAGATTTTTATTTTTTTTTTTAAACACAAAAAAGTTCTGAGTCTCACATTTGATACAGCTGATGTGACCCCCCCCCCCCCCTGAAAAAATCCTGGATCTGCCCCTGACATTACATGTATATATACATGTTTGAAGCTTCCACCAACAAAAATTGGTTGTTTGTTAATAAGCATTAATAAAAGAACTTCCCCCTTTAGTACTTGTGAATGCATTAGCTGGCTTTATATTAAGAGATGAATATGTGTTCACCGTTGTTTGAAAACACCCCAAAAATGAAGTTATAAATGCTTGCTTTCTGAATCTCTTACATAAGTGATGGTGGTAGACATGTATTTGGCCTACTTCAAAATTCATCCCTTATTTTATAAGGTTTTGTATTTAATCCCCATGACTCATTTCAGAATGCGCCTTTCAGTTCTTCAACTGTCATAAACACTCAGCACATTCTTCATTGCCTTAATCTACAAGATGTTATTGAATAAACAATCAGAAACACTGAAATTCCTACATGCTTATATGCACCATATTTAGAAGTGTAAATAGCTGATAAACCAAACACATTGTCCTCTACTTATCATACTTTTCAATTTTCATGCATACATTCATACCCTGAAAGGAAATTTCAAAGCAAGTTTATAAAATATACTTCAGATCTTGAAATAAAATATATAGTTCATTTATTCAGTTTTACAAAACATCAGCTATACAACTTTCTACCCCTCAATAATCAAAAAATCCTCTTTTCAACACAATTTTCCAAAAGTTTAAGTTGTCACATAATTCTAGTTTGATACTCCATTATCCAAATCATGACTCTGACATCACTTAGAGGCATTATTTAGGTCAAATACATGTATTCTCTATTACATCAAGAAAACATGTTAACTGGATTTAACACCTGCCAAGGGCAAGACACAACAACTTGATAGTGTAGAAAGAAATCACAGCATTAATTACCCATTGTTACAATCAGTACACTAACACTTTTTGAAGGAATGAAAAATATATATGTAACATGGAAGCATCTTATAATAAAAAATGCAATTGAGAACATAAAATGTAATTTTGATCCCGTTACACTAATTACATTTAGAACTTTGGGTGAAAAAAATATGTATTGCAGTTTCTCATTGATTATCATCATGGAACTTGGTAATGTCAGTATGCTGTGGTGCAGTGCTAGCTGTCATCGTATCAATATTAAAACTGGGTTACAAAATGTATTAAACTGCATCATTTTTACAAATTCTTCCAAAATAAGGATACAAAATTAATGGTCATAGGGTAAACTGATCGCAAGTCGAACGCCTATCTATATTCACCGACAGTGTTGACAACAGGGTACATTATGCGTGTCATAAACCCAGAGATGTATCGAAATGTGTGCCTAAGGCGTCATTTTAGCGTGTTGTTTACTGTGGCAACTGAATGAAACAATTGTTATTAAAGGAAAAAGCCCGAGATACAAAATAGATCGTAAGTCGAACACATTCGACCATAAGTCGAACGGCTAGATATGAAGTCGAACGCCATTTATTCCGAGTCGCATGAATTACATAATTGTTAATAGGAACTGCTTTTCATGACATTAACATAATATATTATTATTTTTAAAAATAGACAAACTTCTGAAAAGATTTTGTTTGATCTCGTCTTTTTCTTTTATACTAATAGATAGATTTTGATTCATACCAAACATTTTGACATGATTTTCATTTCATTTATTTTAATATCAAGGAAGATTGTGAAACGTTGTTGGTAATACGGGAAATAATTTTAAATTAAAGGAGGAAAGTAATACATGTAATGTAGAATTCAGTCAACATTATCAATTTGCAAAATTTTTCATTGATCCTCCACCTTTTCTGTTGATTTTATCTTATTTCTCTCTGTATTCAGTTCCCCCCCCCCCCCCCCCAGTTTTATATGCTTTTTCTCTTTTTTTTTCATCCTCCGTTGAACATGTTTGAAGCCCAATTTGAAGTTATGGCAAAAGAGAAAAAAAAAGTTTTGCTTTTTTTTTTCTTTTTTTTTTTTGACATCGATCACTGTTTGTTATCTTCATTTTTTGCACCTAGAAGTCTTTTCTAAGGTAGCATTTCGTCAATTTATGTGGTCAGGACTCAATTTATTGTTTGAAGTTTCACAACTTTCTATGATAGGACTAATTTTCTTAAAGTTCGATTACTTTATTCAACGCAAAATAGTTTCAATCTAAACAATCTTGCCATGAAACAAATTCAATTTGACATATTTTAAAATCAGAAGACATAAAACGATTTACAAAATTGCATAAAAATTTGATGTTGAATATTTATTTCTTCAGAAATTTTTAAATCTTTCATGCGGATTTTAAAACCATTCAAATTATCTCTATAAGCTTTCGTTTTTTTCCTTTAATCAAATGTTAATCCTCTGTTACGGCCCCTATTTTCCTGAGATCTCAACAAATCTTTTTTTTTCTGGAACTGGCGCAAACATACTTGCAGCATCGTTGTTTTTTTTTTAAAGGGGGGGGGGGAGCGAAAAAAGATTCAAGACAACGTACCTGAAAAAGATGAAGATAGGGAACGGAATCGATCTCAAGAAAATCTACAGACAATACAAATCTGTGAAAAGGATACAAAACACGAACCCCCGGAAATTCCAGAGGTGGGATCAGGTGCCTAGGAGAAGTAAGTTGACCAGTCACACCCGCCATCAGTCTTCGAAATAACCCGGGATCTAGTCCGATGCCCGGGACCTGGTAAAATTGCGGGCGGGCATGTAAAAAATGAAGATTCACATGTCCGCTGGGCATGTGTAATGTTTTCTCCATTATAGACTGACTTTTATGTAAAAATATTTTACACAGTGGATTGCAATCTATACTTTCATTTCTGATATTAAAGTATGTACGGTATTTTATTCCATGACAACTCCTTTTCCCTTTCTGTTTCTAATTGGCATTTCTTGATTTTTTGTGTGTGAAAATTTGAATATTAGTTTAGTAAAATACCCGGTAAATAAAATCAAAAGAAATTACATTTACGTCAGAAGTTATCGTTACCCCCCCCCCCCCCCCCCCTTTTTCAACGTTCAATTGTTCAATACTCGTTTATTAAATTCAGATTTCTTCAAAAATAGCAATGATTACCACATTTTGGTAGATTTATTATTCATTGTAGATTCACTGACCTTTTTTAACAGCCCTGTTTATACATGTATTTAATGTACCAAATAAATATGCCGTCAGTAGTCAAGTAAATAGGTGAAATTTATTTTTTATTACCTAATGTAACAATATCATGAAAACACACAAGTATATATACTAAATAAGTTGACCAAAGAAGTGCATACACATTTTGAAATCAATTTCACAGGTGTCATATGCAAAGAAGCGTAACTAACTAATCCCTGTCGTCTTTCTACTGTTGTTGAAATGCACGAGATAATCATGCCACATTGTGTACACACTGTGTACACAAACTGTAATTACACTGTAGGATTTTCACATGGAATCCAAATTCAGTATGTTAAAAACTGCATGCAGGTTTTTCCTTAATGATAAACTACTACATTTCAAAATTTTCGGTAATGCATTACAGCAATAAAAAGTATATGTTCTTGACCACCCGAAAGAATATTTTTCACTCATCGAAATTTTTGGTTGTTGGTCCATTCTTGTATAAACAATGGTTCATACACTGTAAAGACAGCATTTTTTTTAATTTCATGAAGTTAAATTTTGAGTAAGGCATGTAAACTTGGTAAAAGTAGTAGATGAGATGCCCGACGGGCATGCGTTGAAAAAAAAATTGTTGTGAAGACTGCGCCATGAGCCAGCAAAAACCAAGAAGTAATTATCCAATCTTGAAAATTTTATGCGGTTGGGGGGGGGGGTTCCAACTGTTTCAACAATAAGCTTTTTGGCTACATAAAACGGGGCGATTTTACCGTGCTGCAAAAAATTAGGAGAGGGGTTGCAGCTAGACTTTTCAATGAACATTTTCAAACTAAATTGACAGTAAAATATTATGTTCGAAAATATACTTCGTGCTTGCGGAGCGTCAGATCTTCTTAATT